TTCCCTTGCACACTCCTCTCGACACTTCAGAAACAGTGGTTTATTTTATAACATGGGCAAAAAGAGAATTGCTCCCCTCTTGGAGTTTCGTCCGAAGACGACACTATTAGGCCTACTTTTGACTGTCATCTCCATCCTCTATTAACTTCGTGCAGGGAATGCCAAGATGAACTTCGAACACTGCTCCTCACAAAAGGTTTACCGCAGGGGGTTTCTACCGTTTCGATCATTTCTTCCGCATTACTTGCTTCATTTCCCACCTAATTCCAGTTTTAAACCTCAGATGAACTCTCTTTCCCCGGACCTTTTTTCAGCTCTGCCTTAAAGCTTCTAGGGAAATACTCATAAGCCAGCAGTTTCACATGTGTATCTTCACGGAAAAGAGATCTTCCTAGATCTGTTTTGAATTACATGCGAATAGGTCTTTCGGCTACTGTAACCCGTCTAAGCCAATCAATGATGAGCGTACAAGGAAATCTGGAATGAATGAATTATCTCTGCCTCAAGGCCCTAGGTGGTTCATGTGATTATCCGGTTTACCAACTTCTGAAGCGCAACATTTCTTTTTTCTTTCAAAATGTGTAGATTGCTATACCCTTTGGAATTTTCTAAATAAACATGTGGGGAATTAAAACAAAAGTACCAATCTCCTGCAAACAGTACAAATGTCATCAAAATTGTCAGCCAGATAGCTGCATTAGATATTTTATTCCCGATGGTTTGGTTTTCATTACCTTCCTTACCCACATGATGTACAGCTCTCCGGACCGAATAAGACAGGAGATCCATCAACCTACCCGTTGAAAGTCTGAAATTCATGCGCCCTTTATTTATGCATTGGTTAATTATCTTCATTTTTTTTGTCTGGGGATTTTTGTAGCCATGGACTGCTTACAATCACTGTGGGGGAGGGGGGGTCACGCTATGGCGATCAAGCGCCAAGACTCGGCAGCTCGTTTTTCATAGACGGGTCGCGTGCTAGCGCAACAAATTACTGGAAGTCAACTATTGCTAATAAAACATGGTTGTAATACACATTTTTCATAACTTTTTGTAAGACGTGTATCAGTGCAAATTACCTTTGTGGCCTCAGTAAGTATTTCTTAACACAAAGAAAGGATTGAGGGGTCTTTTGGAGGATTATGCAAGAAAATCAAAAATTCTACAAGACAAACATACGTTTTATAGGAACAGAATGTAAAGTAAAGATTGCCCAGATCTTTTTCATGTATAGACCCGCAATACGTATATTTCACTGTCTTGTGTAGACTGGTCCCCATCTCGTACGTAGTCTTCTGATGTCTTACAGACGTCTTCTGAACGTAGGGACCGGTAGCGGGTAATGAATTCGGCAGAATCCTGCCGGGTGTATGTAAGTGAGGAAACGATGCTCGCTAAATGCATAAATCAAGCAGGAGCTGATAGCATCATTTTTTTTCTTCTTCTTTTTTTTTCTCTTTCTTCATCATAAATTGTTCAGTTTTCTAGAATTTAACACTATAACCACTGATTTGAAATAAATTGCCGCAAAATAATTTATTGATAATAGTCATTGAAAAATGAATTAGCACACTGTGATCAACAGAAGCTCAGCATGGGTAGGCATTTGTGTGTGTTTTTTGCGTTCCTGCTGAAACAAACGTGTTTCATGCCAAAGCAATGTTATTGGCCTGATTAAAACTTAAATATTCAGCACCCCAATTGACAGGGCTAATTGCACTCGTTAAAACCGCAGCTAGGGACCAGTTCATGCCTTGTGCACCACTTAGTTCTGAAAACGCGCGTGCACACTGTGTTATTAAGAAATGACCCAGACGTTGTGAAGCAGGCAATAAACATTACAAAATGCCTTTCTTCAACCGAAAAAAATATCACAAGTTACAGGCCTACCAATCTGATATAAACTATCGGAAACATAAAAAAACATAAATAAAATATTTACTCTTAAAATATGAGCTCTGAATGATGATATTAACAACGGTGAATTTAAGAGAAAAAACATGACGATCCTTCTCGCCCACACACACACCCACAAAAAACACCTGCGTATCCAATCGAATTTGAACAGTAATTACCTGCTCCGGGTACTTGAAAAAATTGAAACATACTGACAAAGACTAGATGGAAGTCATAGTACCGTTTTCAGGTAATTGACATCAAGGTAGTTAGGTAGGTAGAACCATTCATCCATTGGCATTCTTTCCAGTGCTACCTCGAAATACTACACTGTCGCCTGAACATACACCCAAACTCAAACCATTTAATTGCTTGACATAATTATCTCGCACTCCGAAGTGCATGATATTTCAAGAGCCTTAACATTCTCGGAAAATGTTTTAAATATTCAAACTGACCTACCTATATTTTTTCTTAGTTATCCTATCTGCCTTGAGCAGACAGCCTCTCAGTGGTTGAAAAGAGCTTTGAAAGTGGGGAGTGTTCATTTTGTTGGCAGCTACGAGATCGTAATGCGTGCATGTCATGGTTGTTTGTGAAGCAGAGAAGTTTGTGAACAAGAGAAGCGCTGTTCCCACCACACCAAAGGAGTTTCTGTTGCTAGGGAAACAACACCCTCTCTTGATCCCGCTTAGGCTGAATAGGCCAGTGTAGGATATTAGAAAGAATCGCCGCGATGTTGACGTTGGCCCATGATAACCATGTGTAGGCCTAATGGACTTTGCCGGCTGCGGATACCGTGACAACTTGTTTGCAACACTCAAGCTGCGGACACTATGACAGCCCATGACGAACAATAAAAGAATAAAAAAGGGACAAAGACGCAAATCAATCTAGGATATAATTGGGCTTTCAACTCTTTCACGATTTCCATTGGTAAAATTTATTAAGAAAAAGGGCAAGCAAAATAAAAGAAGTAGATGTATTTCATCTGGTGGCTGCTACTCTGCTTGATCTTTCAAAACGTAGACGTCGACGTCTACGCCATGTTGACAGAACAACAACGTTCTCTAAGAGTTTGGCGCATTTACGCATAAACTAGCGGAATGGTGAATCATACGTGACGTGTGCAATTTTGCTCAATGAGACATTAATATTGGTCACTATGAACTCTGCTTGGAACCGTGAACTCTTCTTTTTTGTTTTGTTTTCCTCCTAATGGTACACAACAATAGCCGAAAAACAGAAGAAAAACTTCAGCCAACCTACCTTTATGTAACAAGTGGGTGGCTATGATGGCGTTCATCCCCGTTGGCTGTTTAATTAATCTCTTGAGGTTGAGCGGTCCCTGAAATGTAGAGCAACAGGTCTCTGAGGGCAAATAATTACTCTTTCATTTAATTTGTTTTCCGTGCAGACGAGTCTTCGCCCCAGGCTAGGCAAACGAATGACATTGCTTCCGACCTTTCGAGGCGGGTTATTCATCACCTCCTCACTTTTCATCACCAGCATCGCTCCTAGCATTAATGTATTGAACGACTCGACTTTCATCGCCTCTTTCGTCGAATCATCACACTCTCCGAGGACAGCTGGGAGAGCAGCTGCTAACATGGCTAAGAAGTCTGCTTGATAAGTGCAATTTAACAACCCTACGATCTCCTTTCCAACGATGGCGACATGATACTCCATTTTATTTCCAGTTGATATTCCATATTATTAACAGTTGTATTATGACTCTGTCATTACATCATGCGTGCTTACCTGTACCTTCCGCTCTGTGTCAAGTACCACTAGCTATAAACACGCTTGTACAGGACAAACTCCCTCTTGAGTTTCTAAGCTGATACTCCGATGTCTTTGTTTACACTGGTGAATTATGTTAGGCGTTCAGTTATTATTCACGTCTATGCATTGCGCTGCATGTTAACAAAAGGTATGAGCATAGTACGTCAGGCTATTGTCTCAACAGGTGTGGTCACCGACGACTCTAATCTCCGTTAAAGGATGGGTCGGCTATTTAATGGCACGATTAAGCTCGTCCCCATCAGTTCGAAATCCCAGCTCATTGAAAAAACATCCATTTCGATGTTTGTTCTCCATCAAAGTAAAAACTTTCGTATCATTCTGAAAATGCTTTCTGACAGAGCGTGAATTCTAATACCTACATTCTTACCACAAGATCCTCTACAGAGGATTGATTTACGCAGAAATTTGTGCAGAGGTGACCTTAAAACTATGTATAAAGCAATATTTCACTTTTCATAATTATTAAGAAAATGAACGGAGAACGGTTTTTGGTTCTCATGTAAAGTTATCCAGTTTGGCCATGCCATTGAGCATAACTGGATGGTCGAAAGTGCATACCGGTATTTGACTTTCGAGATCTCGAAAAAAGATTCAGAAAACGTGAGAAATTTAGTCTTCTTAAACAGCATTGAGTTTGCATTGATCATTTGAATTGGATTAATTATGAAAGTTAGCGATCGTCTACATACAGCTCTCGCATGATGAAATAAACCCCCCGCGAATGTACATTCCACATTGTCCAATACCGTCAACTGAAGTTCATTATAAACCATAGATATTATCTTAAAATATAGGTTCAAACGATGGTCGAGGGCTTGCTTAACTCAGACGGAATCTTGGGGGGACATTACGGTATAAGGTGCCAGAATTTGTAAAATAATTAACAGTGATCTTTGAGGTTCAGTCATACCTTTCGTTAATGCACCTGATTAATCAAAGTGCTCAAAGACAAGAATGCTGGGTGAAAATGTATTATTTGGAATATGACCATCAAAAAATTAAAGAAAATGAAAATAATTAAATAGCTCCAGGATAAGGGGAATTGCCGTCCAGCCTATATAAGGAAAGATTTTAACACGGGGACAGAAAAAAATCCTATAAATTTAGATTCAAATTAGACTTTGGCAAGGTTTAGTCTTAACTTCTGAAACAAGACTGGATGACATTGGCAATTCCTCTTTTCATTTGATGAACCGTCTCGTTTTTTTAAGACGTTTGGAGGCTTCAATTCGGGCACTTTTTGATGTCCGACACTTACTCATCCGTCACATGCACCTGCCGGAAAGCTTTGACCTGAATATAACCACTTGTACCGCGCTAAATGACATCTTGGAAGATGAAGAAGAGCCCAAACTGATGAGAATCAATCACGAAACGATTCGGCAAAAAGAGGTCTCGAGTTTGGAAAGACGTCTTCTTCAACCAAGAAAAATTAAAAGATAAGTTGATTAGGGCCAAGGCATGAATTACACAAACAGTGTTAAGATGGTCACATGAAACTTTAATTAGTTAAAACAAAAGAAACTTAGTTTACAATGAAAATGGAGAAATCTCAAGAGTTGTTTCGGGGTCGCTAGTCGATAGACTATTTGAAATGTCGTGGTATTCCACCAGAACCCTAAACAGCTGAATTCGGACACCAAGGAACAGCGCTCATTTTATGGCATCATATTACGAAAGCAATCGATGCTAGTGAGAGATTCTGGGCCCTGTTTCAGGTCGCACTTGTTCTGCCCTTAGCGCGATTGCTGACATCTCGACAGCTGGATTTAAGTAGTCGATATGTGATGAGTACAGGACTGATTGTGCTCTTTCGGCATAGATTTCATCATGTTGCAAACCAAAACTTAAGTTCTCTGAGAAGTTGAAGGGTGCTACAGTCCGTTAACTTTTATACGAATGTTGGCAATGATAGCTGATCCTTGCTCGAGCTGGCAAAATCTGGGTTAAAACGATAGCAAACAGAAAACAAAGCATGCAAAAAGAACCTGTCCAGCAATTATTCTCTTACTCTCCCCGGTACAGCTTCTTCGTCCGAACAGCCTAATATTTCCAACAGTTTTTAAATTATTCACCCTGGTTTATTTCTGTAACGCCAAATTAAAACACATTTGAGTAAACTTGAAGAAAAAATGGACGATGCTTTTTGGAAAAGGCTGGGGTTCTCTTTTAAGCGCAAGTACTAAACATATCTACTGGATTGTTCATAATGTTTATTTGGGTCTTCATGACCAGCAGACAACGACAGCGACAGAATCACATCGATTTCCGTTGTAGATAAACAAAAGACACCATAATATATGCCTCAGTGAGGATGGCAGAACAAGAAAGAAGAAATGTTACTCTTTGTTGTTGATTACTGAAAAATCTATACTATTCTTCAACGCGTGATTTCGAATTTGGAGAAACGAATTCGATCTGATGTGTCCCTACTAATAATTTCATTAAGTCGATGGGAAGAATTAAACCTGTTTGGATACAATTATAATTGTGTTCCACAATTCCACGTAATATTTTCTCTCTCTACAAGCTCTTTCCGATAATGGCACTTCAGGTTTTTATTGATGAGCAGGTCTGTTTTCCCCACATTTCTAAATGTCAGATGGTTAGGGGTTAAATTGACTTGACCATAGCGCGCAGTAACTGAAGTAACTAAAAAGGCTGGACTGAAATAACAACTACCTGTGCGTGTATACTACGTGCAGGGTGTTGAAAGTTGAAAGTTCCCCAGCTAGAATTCCATGAAACGTGCTTCACGTTACAACATGTTCACCATGCGTCATGGCTCTGACGCTTTGCCAGCTACCAGCTTTTCAAATATTCGTGATGCTCAAGTCCTTTCAGGTCGGCTATTTGGCGGGAAAATCGATGATCTGCAAAGACTCAGGAAGACGTTGGAGAGCCTGAACGGGTTAAGAGCATTAGATGCGGGTTAACGTGCAGGCAGCCAGCACTGCTAGCCTTTCAAAGGAAAAAAATGCACGGAGTAAGGAAGGTTTGCATGGACATGATGTCTGGCTTAGGCGCCATCTGTTAGATTTTTTGGAGATGGTGCACAGTTTCATCAATTTCCAGATAGTGGAGTGGAATGGATAATTATTACCAAAATGACGGATGGTAATCGGGGTGCTGGATTGAATCGGATCAAGTCACTTACGGGATCACTCAACGATATGATTACTTGCATCCTGCTAATATCTGGGCCAGTTTAACAGCTCGGCGGAAATGACATTCGTTGCGTTGTTCTACTGTAAAAGATAAATGCAAACAGAAACAGCTCCCTATCAATGGGAAACTAAACATTACAAACGGAAACTCGTCACAAACAAAAATCAATGGCATGCCAAATAATGACAATGTGTTGTGGGCACAGTGTAAAACTGAATATAATTTTAGCATTTTTTAAAATTAGAAATGCTTGTTTAAAATTTTACATTCACGCCATTTCATTATCCGATCTCCCAACACCACGATTGCTGCATCTCATGCAAGGAACGAAATCACACATAATTATGCCCCCAGATAATTACATTTTCGTGAAACATATTCGGTCGCTAGACGGGGCCCAGAAAAGGGCAAATGGCGAAAGGAAAGTTGATCGTGATTCACAACACACTGCACCTCCGCAAGGGGACGGTAACTAGAGCCAATCCTACCGAGACGAATTCAATTTTCCTGAAATGTAAGGGTTAACAGTGCACGCCCTTACTGGGCTACATCGAAATTAAACCATTATCACCGAGTCAGAAATTCTACCCAGCAATTCGCACTCAGCCGTATCGTGTAACCGTCTTCCGAAACCGATTCGCATGGGCTTTTAACGCCAAATATACCTTCTCGCTTTCAAAGCAAAAACGATGAAATTAAAACATGGAACCCGAGATCTGTTTCTATCTCTTTATTTTGCGATCCACTGTATTGCCTTGCAACATGCATGACACACTCCTACCGTACAACAAATTAGGTCTCTCTTCCGCTCTAGGTCAGCCCTCGTATTAAAAGATTGAATAGATTTCAATTTTTGAACGCTTCAAGCAAAAAAGGAGTTTTTCTTTCACAGGGGCACAGACATATCACAAGACAAAACACTTCAGGCTTGTCGAGAAGAAAACACTTTGGGTTGGTTTAGTGTTAGTCATGACAGTTGTAGCTGCAGGTTACACACTCTAGAATGAGAAATTAAAGATGGGCTTTCTTGTTCACACCATGGATCCCCTTGTCAGGACCGATTGGCGGCAGCATTCTATATAGGGCGTAATGATTTCAGTTTTACTGTCCATTTGTGTTCATTTGTAGTCCCACAAAAGGACGGAACGACAAAGATTTTACCCCGACTTCCACGTCATACGAGGAAGCTATAAAATACAGAAGCGTTTGGGAACAGAACTTTGATATTTGCTTGAAATATCGCACTTAAAAAGTTAATGTATGTTAATAAAGCAGAAAGCACTGAAAAACATCAGATCAATTCAATGATTTGTGTCGTAACCCCAATAAAAAAGCAAATAGTTTTGCAGTAGGACTGGCAACGGCAAATCTCGCACGGCTTCCTCGAGCTGCTTGAAACCAATCAGACACCGAATGGCGCGCCGAGCCAGCTGTAGGAGATAAGCAGGGTTACGGTAGGTACGCACCAGCTGTGATTTGAGCGGCTCTTGGACCAAACTGAACACCAGATCGTTGATGTCCTGTATATCAATGCGGTTCGCACCCTCGACGAGCAGTTGGATGGTTTGCGGAAATGCAGTCAGTAGGGGGAGCATGCTCAACACGCTGCGGAAGTTGTCCCTGGCGGTGGAGATGGTAAAGCGCCCTCCATTGTTGATGAAAGCCAGTACACGCTGCTGGCAAGCTTGATCCAGCTGGTTGCGATCTTCTACCTCTTCCATGTTTAGTACGTTGATGTAGTGTGACAGGAGACAGTGAAGGGGCGTGTCGTCAGTACTGGTCAGTGCGTCTGTATCGGCACCACTCCGCAACAACAATTTCAAAATGTCGGGCTCGCTGCCGGCGGAGCAGGCGCGGTGAAGCGGTTGATACTGGCGGTCGTTCAGTGCGTGGATGTCGGCACCGTAGTCCAGCAAGAGCTGGATAAAAGGGACACCCCGGTGGGCTGATGCGTGGTGAAGTGGCGTGTTTCCCTGCTGGTCGCGGGAATTCGGGTCCGCTCCATAAGCGAGCAGACACCTAGTAATGTCGAGCTCGTTACCAATGATCGCCAGCTGCAAGGCGTTGCGCCTATGCCTGCCGGGCGTTCGGGGAGCAGTCCACGCGTGCACGTCACAACCTAAAGTCAGGAGTATTTCCACAAACTTTAGATGACCTACCTCAACAGCTGCGTGCAGCGCTGTCAGGCCCTTCGGTGTTCGGGACTCAGGGTCAGCTCCGTACCTTAACAATGTCTCCAAGCATTCAGGCGCGTCGAGGGGGACCCGATGGACCTCATAGCCGATGTGTTTGTGGTAGAAGTTCGGATCCGCGCCATGTCTGAGCAGTACCTCCGCACAGGCGTGGTGACCTTCCTGAAGGGCCAGAGACAGCGGTGTGAGGCCGATGGCATCCGTCCTGTTGGTGTCAGCCTCTGTCCCCGGTTGCACCAACTGCTCGAGCATCTCTACCAGCCCGTGCTTGGCAGCAACATGCACGGGCGAGTAACCACAACAGTCCTGCACGTTGACATCCACGTGGTGTTGCAGGAGACAATTGACACAGTCCGACCTCTGCTTGAATACAGCGTGGTGCAATGCAGTGAGCTTCATGGCGCCCACAGTTTCATTTGGATTTTGGCAGTGCCTGAGAAATCTCCTAAACCTGGATGAGCTGCAGTCAGAATTAATCAAATCTACTAGGTCACCGGCCGTTGAACACCAAAGTGACATTCCTGCAGTCGGTGTCGTTCAAAACAAGCAGAAAAACCAATAAACTTCGCAAAAGCGAAACCATGCAGCTCAACGCGACGTCGGTACTGTTCCGAACACTGAACTTACCATAGAACGTGTTTAAGGCAAAGGAGAGCAAGAAAATATATCGGCCTAATGTAACTTAATGTCTATCGACAGCTTGAAGTAAAGAAGGACCGTGGATCGTACGTTCAGTATGCATGAACGTTTCAGCATAGGTTTTAAGAACTCCTTGCACAATCTGCGCTCCATACACCCACATTCCAGAAACGCCGTGCGCGTCATTCCTTATGAAGCACACAATAGACTTGCCAAGTCTCCCCAAGCAGGGTAACGATTTTATTTTCTGTTTATTAAATCAACACAGCACGCAAAAACAGAAGCAGCTATTAAACCGTTATAGAATTGTTTGCAAGAATAATCGACTTTCAAGCAGAGTAGAGTTCTAACTCGGATATCTTTCTTTAAACATCCTTTTCATTTTGCAAACTTCTCAAGACTTTATGTAACTATTAACCCTGACGTTTTGGTTCAAAACAATTATTATTCAGTCCCAAACAACTTAATCTGTATGGCGCTTTTCCTAATACATATAGTTTCCACACCTAATGCAACAAAGCACATTTGCAAGCCTCTGCTCTGTGATATAAATAAACCTGTTGAAAGTATACATTTTAAATCCGAAGCCAATACATACTTAAAGTATAATAAATATGACTTTGTCAAACTAGATGTCGATATTACTGTAAAAGTATACGCATGATTTTGTAAATCTACATCGTGTCTGGGTTATTTGCATATATGCATCAAGTTGTTACTTTTTGGTTGACCTTTGTGCATCCTGTGCCGCCGGTTTGCAGAGTGCAAATCCCTAGCAGGGGAAAATCAGTTCTTAAATTATCTTTAACATTTGTCTAGGTTTATTAATGAAAGTGTTGTATGACTTTGCAATATTGTCTGTTACATTATGTGGTAGCTTGTAGGAGAATATGAATCGAAGCTTACATGATATACGGATTTGTGCACCGATTAGCTGGGTCTGATGTACGCGTAACAAGACTGGTGCAATTTGTCCGTGAACAAAATCATATTTTGAGGTCGTTGACTTGCCTTTTTGTGCGCTTGGCTGGCCAAGCCATGATTCAGCTGTAAAGGATGATGTAGTATGGTCTTTAAGAAAACTCTCAGTGAGTATATCATTTCTTAGTTTCATGTACGTGATTGAGAACACGATGTTTGGTACAGCCGAATGTTTCCTTATAGCGGCGTTCCCCTGTGATTAAGTGCCGGTGATATGCCATTGATGAATAAATTGAGCCGCTTATACCTACATGTCGTTTGTGTTTGCCTGCATCCGTTCTTTACTTGGTCCCTTTGACAGCAGGATAGGGCCTCTCAGTGCCGCCCACTACAGTAGTGTGAATAAAGGGATATCTTGTTTCGCACCCACAATATTCAAATAAATGAAAATATCTGAGGCAATAGTCCTGACAGAGCAAACATTGCAGTTGCGCATCTGTCCAAATTCAAAACTCGCAGGCTCTTCGACCCTCAGAGCAGATTTTTTGATGTGATCACAGGGCGTGCAACATGCATGTCAGCAAGCTGGATTCGAGATACACGTACATCAGTGGTCCCCAAAGTACCTTTGGACGAAATGGTCACAGCCATTCTGTGTTGGCCATTAACAGGTTTGGAAGCTTAAATCGGTGCCACCGGAGAGCGATTCCAGTGGACTAACTGTATTCAGCAATTATAAATCCTACTTTACTATTCCTTAAACATCTTCAATTCAACAATAAGCCAACACATTCATGAGCACTCATTAGCAACGATGCCGATTACATAAATTTTGTCACTTACTGCAAACTGTTAAATGTAAAATTAAGCTTCAAATGATGCATATGTTACCTGTTAGGAAGTTATCAACCCTTACTTACTGACGCATTAAAATCACACAACGCTATTTATTGTTTTTTTTCATTTTGTGAATCCTAATATTTATTAAGTGTTCATGCAAACCATACCTTAAGAATGCTTACGCATAAAAGATTACCTTGTTATTGATATCAGAAATAGGATATATTTATCATTAGTATTACAAGTGTGTATATAGTGCTACTCTGAACTACTGGACTTTACGCTTTACAAAGAAGAAACCGTATTACCAAACAACAAAACATTTACGAGAAAATATTGAGAGAAACCAAGAGAAAAAAGTTCCGCCAAACAGGTATGTTTTGGTATGTTTGATGGTAGACATTTCACATCTGGGGCATAGAAAGAGGATGACCTTTCCGCTCTACCGCCCCGCCCCCTTGGGCATCATGAGTCGTTGGGAAAACCAATCATGCCCCATGGATGGTCAGTATCATACACTGTTCAAGACTCTGCCTATAATTATAATTGCCTCCTAACCTACGGGGATTAGGCGATTAATTTTGTTCACAGAAGTTCGGCTAAAGACACGAAGGAGACGAAAACGTAATTATGTTTGATTGCAAGATTATACAGCGCGGGCAGTACACATACTTTGCCGAACACTGAGCAGATTATGCTGTTCTTCGCATAATTAATTCTCCGGTTGCCACGACTGGGCAGTTAGATTATGGTGACAACTTCTTTGCCGGACACACCAATCAGATCGAAGGACGAGAAAGACACCAGGATCTCCTTGTCGCCAAACGCCTTTCTTGCTACAACAGTGACCTTGTACTGGACTGTTTCATCGCCCCCGATGTTTCTATACCCAAAAAATAACAACGTTTGAAAATAATAATCATTGAAGTCGTAAAGAATGATCACGATCTCATTAAAATATTTCATCAACAGTCATAATCAAGGTGGGCTCGTTTACGAAATGTGCGGGGAATATTTTGAAGGTGCTTTGGTGTTTCCTGTATACAACTGACGACCTAGCATGGGTTTCTTTGGGCCAAGGACAGAAAGGTTTGCAACGAATAAATAACGGAATAAAACAAGTGTTTCGGACGTAGCCGCCGATCTCACACAAAGAAAGAGCTAAAAAAAACATAAAAAATGCGAGTTATCGAGCGAAACCTTTCGGGGAATCAAAGTTGGGAAAGATCGATATACTGAAACGCAAAAGATAGTTCTCCCCCCAGTCAAAAACAAGAATGGAGCTCTATCACTCCTCTCCCTCAAGCCAGTTACAGATACCTGAAAGCTTCCTTTTTAGGCAGGACCACAGCAGGACCTTCGGTTTTGAAGAAGCAGCCGTGGAGTGCAGTGGACAGAGGATTGGTGAACTTGACGCTGGCTGTAAATTCTGTGGCTGCAATCACAGTCTTGGGAACCTGAAGATATATAACAGAGCAGAGATCAAATTTGCTGAAAGCACTTGAGTTCAGAGTTCATCGCATATTTTGGTGTGTTCTTAACCACTTGCTGCAAGCAATATTTTTAGGGATAGTAAGTATTGAACAAGTATTATGACGATACAGAGTAACGGATTATGATAAGCGTAGGAAGACATCTCAAAAAACTATACCTGTGTCTTTTTTCCGTCCACAAAACAGACAGAACCAATATAAAGTCAGATTGCTGAGTTAAGAAACTAAGACGAAATTCACACTTTACCTGAACCTTGAGGTCCGGCTTGGTCAAGCGGAAATTTGCTGCTCTTGTCATCACCTGGTCTGTCTCGGATACAAACATGGTTATCTGGAAGCGGACGTTGGCCTGGTCCACGAGTTTAGGGAGATAGTCGCTCGGTTTCACCTTCCACTCATGAACTATGAATTAACGGGGCAACAAGCTTTAGGGCTTTGGTGGTATAGTCCATCGATTGTATTGTTATCCCCAAAATAACTGACAAAATTACTGTTGATAAGTAGACTTGTTTTAAAGATGCTAATGGGACAATGGGATGGGATGTCCTTTTTTTTACAAAACGATGAAAGGCCATTACAAAAACACATCTAAGGACACAATTTTTAATCAGTCGCCAGACGTTCGTTTTGAGCACTTTGGGTGCCTCAAACGAACGTAATGCACAAATGACGGGTAGTACGTTTACGTAACTACCTGTCATCGCTGTTTTGCTAAGCTACCAATAAAGGAAATATGTTTTTTTAGGTTTTAGAAAAACTCTAACAATTTTAATAGAAATGAAAATTGTGCACCCAAAAGCTGTTCATTAACATATATTTAAAAAGAAACTTTGCTTCTGACCTATACTCTCATGTGCACTGAGAAAGAAAGAAATAATTATTTCCAAGGTGAACTTCTGGAAGTTTATCCTACGAAGGTTTTCTTCTAAAGGTTGTAACTAACCTGCTTCTGCGCTCTTCACGTTGACAAAGTCTCGTGACTCAAATACCAGATTTGCTTTCACTCCCGTGTAGTACATTGTAATACAAGTGATGACGAGAGTCACACTTCGCAGCTCCTCGACAGGGCACGTCTTCTTCAGCTTGGCCTGAACCACAAAGTCCTTACCGATGAGAACGTCTTCCGGCAGGACGATCTTCAAGCTAGTGTCCCGGCCCGTCTCCGGTAAGAGCTTCTTGAGAGTATACGTGTACTTGTCGGCAGTGAAGAGGCTCAGGTATTCCATGACAGAACCTAACGACAGGAACAAATGTTAAGTCCTTGTTCTCGATAAAACGGGCTTACTGAATCAAAAACTTTGAATTACAGAGACGGCTATGGCCGATAGAAACCTCGGAAGAAATGTTATGTTTGAAAATCTAGAAGGACAACGGTAACGTCCCAAAAAGCATCCGGCATACTCTGAACTCATTGTCTCTCAATACATGATGTCTTTGATGATCGGACATTCTCTGCCGCGTCATACCGAACCGGAACCAAGTGCACAACAGCCTCGTGTAGACAGCAATGCTGCGTTCTTTTGGGACGGTAATGCAACTGAAATCCGAGAGCTCTGATCATCGACAGCTTAATGTTGTCATAAGCAGATGAATTGAAGTAAAACGTGTCAGAAATGTATGCAGTCATAATAGATGTATTAACGGCGGTGATCTTGGAATTGTTGAGTTTACGCTCCAAGCGTAGTTCCCGTTGGCTCGATTGGGACACAATAATACATAAAGCCAAGTCGCAACTTTGGCAACGCAAAGAGGCCGACGTGACCGATAACGCCTGCATATACGGGTACTGATTTTTTTATGGGGGGCATAGGGGCAATTGAACTATAGAGCAGCGACACTTCTGTACAGTCATGTTTTGTCTGTTAAAATGTCGTGTTCGTGTGTATACTGTGTCATTGTGTATTATGGAAAATACTTCCCAAATACATGGATGGAAATAAGTGAAACGGAAAAGCTTCCAGCTGAGACCGCAGACGTCCTTTTATTTATATCACGTCTGTGAACAAGGTAACCAGATAAGCAAAATGCCACGTTGATTGGGGAGACCTCGCATGCATGGCCGAATGACTTGGGACGCGCTTCTTTAGGACCATAGGCATGCGCTGTTAGAATACCAAACTCGCTTTATGACAAATTTATTAAGAATGGAGTGATTCTGAAATAAGGAGCAACGGAAAGTTGTAGCCAAGACCAATTATGACCTTCACAAGACCACACAATACCAGCACTGGACCAACACAAGAACTCCAGTCTGAATTCATGTCACAAGCTACTCAAATGAACTGCAACAAAAGCATTCCTTTGTGATTGTTCACCCTGTTACTTGCGCCTGTTCTTGTGCATGGTCTTGTGTCTGGTCTTATTTTTAGGTTATGATAATGGCATACCTGAATATATCGCGTGTCCCCCTTTGAACAAAGTAAATAGCACCTGAAAGATTTCTCAATTCAATGCAATTTGTCTCGTCAGCTACATCGTGCCGTAGCCTCGCACGCGCTGCACGTGGTGTTAACGATGGATATATACACGGGAGGCATTTTTGTTAAAACTGATGTGATCCACGGATGTTACCTCTGACGTTGGTTGAACGATGTCTTTTGTAAAAGACAAAATTATGCCACATCAGCGATTATTACGCCGAGGCTATGTATCAGTCCCAACTACAGTTTAGAGAGTCTCAATTTCAGTGCCCGCAGCTGGGGCGTGCCTATATATTTAGACTAAACTCTATCGAAACTCTCGACAGAATTCTTTAAGTACGTTCCAAGCAACCTGACATTTCCTCATGATGGAAACAGAAATTATTAGACGAAATGACAATCACGGGCACACGTTGAATCACATATTATCACACTATTAAAACCATTGTTGAGCTGTCCGACTGCAGCACCATAGTCTAGACTGCCCTGACTGTATTGTGGACAGTCCCGACTGTGTCTAAGACCAACACCATATAATTGGGGCGGATATAGTTTCAAAATGCCCACAGCTAATATCTGAATTATTTGCCTAAAACCCGCTACCAGCTGGTCGAAAACATTTGTCAAAGACTTGTAAGTCAGTGTAGGCCGTTACCATTGTGGATATCCCCATGTGGATAATCACCTATTGCCGTGTACCACTTGGGCACTATGACTTAATTTTTCTGTCCTAATCGCGGAATGGCGAAAAGCCGTAGCCGTACTGCCCCTGTTTCTGAAGCGGCTTCTGCTCCGGTAACAATACGTTATCTTACCTTCCTCTGGCTTGTACTGCCGAGTGATATCCTCCCGTTCCATTTTTCCAACAGCTTTCGTCAAAATGCGAGTCCCCACTGCGTCGGTATCAATATCTATGACTTTCGGTTGCTACGAACAAAAATGATTTTATAAACTTTTTAGTGTAATTGACGTTTCACAAGGGCCGCACATTTGAACGACCACACCCACTAAGTGCGCAGACTCACGGCCTTTCAAACACCAACAATCCATGTGAGACTGACACTAACACAAGCAAGGCAACTTAACTTGAGATGGGATATGGATTATAATAAAAAAGAGGGAAAATTCTGGGAGACTGAGTTCGAAACAAACACAAACAAATACCGACAACTATGAGCCAAGGTCCTGAAGTAAGCTGACTGTACACCATGAGAAGAATCAACATTAAAGACAAATTAGCTTCAATGATATTATCTCACAAGACATTTGTGAGTAAAAACCATTTGAAGCTTCAGCTTTAGAATGGTGAAAGTCAAAGAAACATCTGAATCGTACAGAAATCGAGCCTCGTTTAAAACGCATTGCGCATTCTGTTTACATAAATCGTGCACTCCATGACCCATCTTCGGCCCAAATGCTTGAAAAGCCGAAAGTGGAATTTTCTGCAACAAATACCTCCGAGTAATCCATGCTGATTAGCCACGAGACTTTGCAGGCGTTGACCTCGGCAAACACGAACTTGGTGTCGTAACTGAAATACACTTGGCCGCTCTTCACTGCAGTCAGGGAGGCAGGTCCCGTGCGGTACACATCTGCATGAGAAAGATTGAACACGTTGAAGAAAAGAACAGTAAAAAATCTCGGTACACCACTACCGAACATAATATGTGAAAATTTCACTTGGGAGGCACCGTTGTGGCAATGACTTGTGTTTTGTGAAAGTTACAGCTCTTTTAGCGACATTTTAACGACATGTGAAACATAATCTTTAAACATGGCAGACTTTCCGGTTTGACTGATTGTTCCATGACTTTGCCAAAAAGTATGGTCCATCTCAATAGCAGCCTGCAGGTTGTTTGCATAAACCCAGCCATTTAGCCCCTTCGTCCATATCCCCATTCGTCCTTACGACCACATACAAAGGTCTACCGACCAATCAAAACACGGAGGCACTACACGATTCTTTACTCCGGCGGCATACTTACAATCGCTTTTCTCTTGTGGAGTGGCGTCCACCGCTTGCCACCCACCATAGCCCTTGGGTAGGTCACGGCGGGCCATCCAAGCGTCATTCCAGACATGAAAGTTCCTGGTTGTTTTGAGGGACGTATCACAAATAAAATTTGGTTATCTTACTGAGGTAACGGCTGTATGTACAGAAGTGTCCACACTGATCTTTCAGGCCATCCTGATTGAAAAGGAGAATTTATATTACGGGTTTTGCCCTTAATACCCAACGTATATGTATTTATAAATACTGTATACTCAGTGCTTGTCCGAGATCTTGCGAAAAATTCCACAAGCTTATTCGGGTGGGACTCGAACCCACAACCTCTTGCTTACTAGTGTAGACATTTTAATCACTCGACCGCTGAACTTGCTGGGGTCAGCTGGCCGGTGCGAGTCCGGCACGTGTAGCAACGGGTACCGTGAACTATTTTCAAGATGTACTTTTGTGTGAGGGAGATGTTGAATTAAGTTACGGGTGTTGCCCTTACCCGACTTATGTGTATTTATAAACCTTGTATATTTAGTGCTGAGAATACAGAAACAAGCACACAAACAAATTCCAATCTCCTCCAATTTACGGCACTGGTTACATTGTAGATGGAGTTGAAATGCTATTTTGTGTACTGACTCCCTAAATCATGAATACCATGTTTTTCACAAGAAAATCACTGTTTTTGCTCAAGTTTCACATTATGACAGAGTCACCTGTTAATCTCGGATTTCGCCCTTTATACTCAGGCTTTAAAAACTTATGAAAAAATTTGCGACAGGTTTGCTAAAATTCTACGAACAGTAAGCTCATTTTAACTAAACTTCAAAGGTTTTTCTATGTTGAACTGACCAGACGCTGTCGGCCGTTCCAAGTGATTTCCCATCGGCATCGTAGTGGTAGTCAATCAGGCAGTTAGCGTCAGTGTCATGCGCCGAGGAGAAGTTGGTGATGGTACGGCCCGGGATACCAATGCAGCGGAGAGCTGAGGTTTAAAAAGAGAATCATTACTGACTCCTTGAAACTTATGGAAAATCGGTGTTATTATCAGGAAAAAACTGTTAAGGGACAATATCATAAATGCAATATTTACTTCTGGACATTATGACGTTGGAACGAAAGCAGAGAAGGTAATCCGAAAGGTTCCACCTGATAAAGCTATGAGCGATATCGAACTGGATATTTGGGTCACGTTTGAACTGTCCCACTTGGATGTTTGTTAAATACAGGGGAGCAACGTTTTGAAAGCGGGCCAGTTGTTTCTGAATTTCTTTCGAAAAATATATACCTTGCTTTTTCACCCATTGCAAAGGGCAACAAATACTCCATTACATGATGGTACTCCAGTGGAGCTGAAAGAAAGTGTGTGTTTGTACCTGAGGGACTGTCAAGAGTCATTCATACTGAAGCGCCACAGAAACGTCCAAGTGCAAAAGGACGAGCTCAGAATGCTCTTACCACGCCGAAAACGTGTAAGTGCTCCCTTCAATATAAACAAATATTCCATGAAGTTTGGGTTACCTCAGGGTACAGTTTTTCCTAGTTGCCAGACCCACCTGTGGTAAGCAGACCGCCAAACACCCAGCACTGTCCGTACCTCACCGGCAGCCCTGTCCTGATGTACTCCTCGAAGATGGAGGCGCTACCGGACCAAGCTGTAGGCTCCGTGCCATCCGCGTAATCGCCACTCCAGTTGCCGGAGAGGATTCCTCCCTCATCTTGTGAATTAACCTGCCAGTTGTGGTGCAACAAGTTAAACTGAATCGTCAAAGTTTTACACAAAATAGGCCGAACAGTTTACATACTGAAAAATGCATGGTCTACTTTTTATGTCTTTCCTCAGGGCGTTCTACTCTTATAAGATCTGACTACTTTAAGGTAAAGTTCAAATTCCCAACTTGGATTAATATCTTCACGTGCCCAGATGAAGAGGTTGCTGCAGCTACCAAAGGTTATGGCTTCTTGTAGCTTCTAAGGTGTTTTGTATGCAGTCTATGGGTTGGCAGGGACTAGAAAATTCTTTGGTGTAAACGTTTCCGAGAGAATCAGCGAACACATTTTGTTCTCAAATTGTTGCCCACACTCACCAGAGCCGACAGCTGCCTAGATATTTCAATTGGGCAGGAATAAGCTGCAGGGCGCTTCTTGCAATCTTCCAGAAGGCGAACCAAACACTCCAGGATTCCAGACTCAAACTGGAAGGCAGATAAAAAGGACTTACTGTACCTAAAGTACATTTGTAAGGTAACTATGCTAGCCGCGCAGATTAACTCTCATTTGACTCGTGGTGATAGCCGAGTGTGTCTATCCGTTCCTGGCGGGAACGTTCTTACATATGATGGCAAAATGTCAAGTGTTTTTTTTTCTTGTATGTTTTGTTATTTGTACAAGCAAAGGATACACTACTAGCTTCCCTTCAGGTATAAAAACATAAGGTCTTTGCCTGTGTGCCTGTCGCGCGCACGAGCTGCTCTCAGTTCTTCGCCTTTCAGGATGTGCTTCATATATGCCGCAGTAGTGGATAGCCTTGATTCGACTATTCCTGGAAAGAGGCAAAAATCATTGACCTGGCCAAAATACCACGGCGCCCATCCCACGGAGTGGTCGGTTCCATAGAAGTACATCCCCATGTCATTCAGAACGTATTCCTGCCTCAGTTCCTCTTTGTGTAGGAACACCTCATCGGCTGGGTGAAATGAAGACGAAATGGCAATTTGAGATGTCGGGAATTCACTGATACAGGAAATCGTACAAACGTACACATAAAACAGAAGATTCCCATCGAATGGTTCTAGTATATCAGATATTGCGCATGCCTTTGTGTAGTTGCATCAGACTTTGAGTTTCAGACTTTCACCATAATCCACAAAGGAAAAACACATCGCGGTGAGGTCCGCAATTTTACCACCTTCATCAGACAAGATGAAAGAAATGAAAATAACGTGTTGATTGATTAAAATGCGCAGTGAATGACGTCTAATGACAATACCCAAGTTTACCTTGACACCATGGATTGAAAAGAACGTAGACGTGTCCCTCCAGTTTGAAGCGGCAGGCAAGGGCGCCCCCAACGTTAGTGCGAACTGCCATCTTATACCGGCCGATCAGACAATCGGAGGGAATGGATATCTTTACGGTCAGCTTGGTTCCCTTGGATTCAATGACCTTTGCCCTCCACTCATCGACATCTTCGCTTGCTACATCGATGGGACGAACGTAAATGGCGATATGGCTCTCGTGAGACATCATTGGCTTGTCTCCTGTCAGCAGTAAATTGAAACATTGCGAGAAATCTATCAATAACCTGCATGTGCATACAGAAATTTGTCGACCCAATACGCGTTTGAAAAGGTCGACAAATTTCGAGTGTTGTGATTGGCCAACGCGTTATTGTGAATCACCCGTATTCTCGGAATTTAATCGACAAGGGGACAGTGAAGGAACCCGCACGCAGCCCATGGATCGGAGTCGAGGTTGCGGTTTGTCTGCCGCCATCATGTGTTTCAGAGTCTTCCATGGTATCTTTACTACACGGGGTGGTTAAGTTTTCGTGTAATTTTTTAATGAAGAAATAAAGACAGCACAGCGCCCTCGGCGCTAAAATAATAAATCCGCACCAAAACTGCGCAAGGTATACAGATCACATTAAACATTATTTTATTCGGGAGGAGGGTTTTCGAGGCCAACAAATTGGGTTGGTTACTACGATTTGGTTGAAAATCACACCGCAGTTGTTTTGTTGTTTTCAAACTATCGTCTAATGTGGTTTTGAAAGAAAGAGTTGAATAGTGTCTCTGAGCGTGACGATGCAGCACAAGAGGCGAAATCATAATTGACTTACAAGATAGGCCCTACAGCAAATAGGACCGTAAGCTCTCGTTCGAACGAGAGGGGAATACATGTACCATGACACGTGTGGAAGCACTACATCGAACGGTCAAAGCCGGCAGGAGCAGTCTGCCACGCTGACGGGCAACAGCTGGGCGGGGTTAATTAAGATGTGCCAAGTTGTGCTACTATTGAACTGTATTTTGGTCTCTAAGGGAAATATTTTTTTGAACTCCAAAATAACTACAAGTGATTTGTATATAACAGACGCAACTGAGATTTTGAAAAGGTGGTGGTCTTTCTCACATGCGCAGCTTGTTGGAAATTTGTGATTCTATATTTCGTGCATCAAAAAATCCTCCAAAACCAGAAGGAGCAGCTAAGACGATATTCAAAGCTTTTCTTGCGGAATACATAAGCGAAAAGCACTCTCTTGGAATCGAGGAGAAAATGACCACAATGTTTTTGGCCTTGTGCCGCTCAAGCTTTTTGCCGCCCAGGCCATTTTGCGGATGGCTGCATAACTGTGAATTTGTTGGTGAAAATATCCACAGATCGATTGAACATGCTTTCGCGATCACGCAAGAGTGCAACATGAATGCAAAATCAGGATCTCTGAGCTAGGCTTTGCACATGCAGAAGTTCCTGTAGACCTTGAGAATGTACGGTGACCGCAACATGAACGAGTACACCTTTGCGGTGCCGTTTTCAAGATTTGCTGGTACGGAACATTACATTTCAAAGTGGAAACCTTCCACAACTTTAAAATGAGGAATAAAGATGCTGCACGTAAACAATAAAGGCGTCATTTTTGTTGTGGGATTGGGTATTCGTTCATTTCTTTTAGGGGAACTACATTTCCACTCAGTGAAGAACTAATTTTCAGAAAGAAATGGAGTAACTAAAAAAGGTCTTGACCACTGGACATGGAGGATTGCAGAAACAGTTCCAGATCTGGGTGCCTTCCTTACCCCACCACATTTCGATGAACACTCTGTGGCCGGCTGCTGCATCGTACTGCTTAGTCAAGTTGATCTCCACTTCGAAGGCCTGGCCACGCCTCACCACCAGTCCGGCGTACTCGTACTTATCGGTGCGGTGAGCCGGTCGGTTCTTCGCCGTCTGAAGGTCCACCGACTCCACCTTCAGCTGGCCTGCAGAGTGAAGCACAACAACAAATTCTGCCAGAGGAATCTTGGTAGACAGCCAAAAGCAGAGTAGTATCGAGTCAATAATATCTGCGATTCAAGTCGAGTCGACTCATTGTAACACACTGACTTGAGTCGAGTCCAGTCATTTTTGATGTGTTCGAGTCGAGTCGAACCATTTACCGGTCGGAACTTGAGTCGAGTCCAGTCGCCAAAAACTGTGAATCGACTTTTGCTTCATTTGGAAATAATTCCTAGTAAACTTCATGTACGCCAATTTCAAATCTTACAGCAGATGTTTAGTTTTACACACACAAAATCAAAGGCACTACACACGGGCTGGCAACATTCCAAAAAAAGATAGCGACAGGAAGTTTTCATTAATATCCCTGGAATGTATTACGACTATATTAACAGGACAGATCTTTCATAAAAATAAACGTGACTTGAAATGACGCTCGGGCACTCGAAACAAGTGCCTTGAGAGAGAGACATGGTGCTTAGGCAAAGCTTTTCGTAGGACTCTACAAATCAAAGCCCTGTTTCAAAGCCTATAGGGGTTGATGGAAGGATACTCAGTTACCGGCGTTGTCAGTTTCGCTATAACTAGTAACTCATCTTTTTAATCCCAGAAAACAAAGATCACGAAAAAAAAAAGCCACTTGAGGTTTTCAACCACAGAGTCACTGAAGAATTCACATTTTAAGAACAAAATGAACAGTCAACAAAGCATGCGGAATTTTAGTGTTAAAAAGGGCAGATTCAACAGTTTTCTTTCATGTAAGAGGATAAAGTTCAACGAATATTCTCCCGAGTAAAAATAACAATGCAACCTTTAAGAAGCTCACCAGTAAATAGGTTTTGCTATGTCTTTCAGGTCACCACGTTCAGAAGGCAAGGGGACTTTTTGAAATGCAGTTTGATTAGGTAAACGACATTCAATTCATATTCAAAAGAGTTGCATTTTAAACCTGACAAGGATAAACATTATCGTACCGGTCTCTGGCTTTGCTGGTATATCGGCTCTTGGCGGACCCGATTCACCGATTCGTCCAGTCAACGCCACACCAGATGCTCTCGTTCTCTGTCTAGATGCCATCTCGTGTAATTATATAGCTATGATCTGGTGGTTCAAGTAATAGATAACCATATTATTAACAATCTGTAAAACTGACCAATGACCGATTCATGTTTTATCCAAGAACAAGTAAAAACCAAATATAAATGCAAAATACACGTATATCTAAAACTTGCCATTACAAGAAATGGAAGCACATCTTTAAAAAATATGAAAGAATTACGATTCTTGAAAACAGGAAATTGCTAAGGAAACAAACACTCAATTATGCTTCCCCGATGCACCATGGGCAGCACGTACTCTTTGCGCCATATTCCAAAAACATCAAAATAAAATCAACTAAATTAAAAACAGGGATTTAAAGGTAAACCATTGCCCTGGTAAATAAATACCTCTGCATACGACATCCTGTTTTGTTATACAAACATAGCAATAAGAAAAACACTCAAGGATACAGACAGCCAACATTCCACATAATAGCCAACGATCACCTTTGATCATTGACTTTTTCATTACACTACCCTGCTAGGTGCTTGATCTGTTGCATGGCGCGCATAAGTGACATTTATTGCTTTTGGTTGCTTCAAGATGTCTCCAAATCCTTCTTCAGAAATCTTCAAATAAATTTTGATATATATCTTGAAATCGAGTTCAAGATATCTCAAAATTGATTTAGGTGTCTTGAATTCGATTCGAGGTATGTTGAAATTGACAATAGACATCTCAAAATTCATTTCAAGATATCTCGAAATCTGTTGGTAACATAAAAAATGTAATTTTAAATTTCTTGGAAATCGATTTCAATATAGTTTGAAATGGTGTAGTATATCTTGAAATCGTTTTCTCTTTTGCTTCTGTCATGTCGGGACGAAGATTAAATAGAAAGACGTGCCAGGGTAAATTACAATATACTTTCTGGGAAATCAGGCAAAAATGGAGTATCTTGTAGCACAGAAGAAAAATGATTGTTAAAATATCTTGAATAAGGAGTTTGGAAAATCCGAAAAGAATTTTGAAATGTTTGAAATGGATTTAGAGATGCTTTTAAAAGGATTTCGATATATCTGGAAATGGATCTGAAGTTATCTATCTAAAAACCAGATTTCAAGATATCTAGAATGGATTTAAAGACGCCTTGATATCATTCCTAAATGGCTTTCAAAATAGAAGAAATTTTAAAGACATCTTGAAATTAGTGATATTTTTAAAGTAAGCACAAGCTACCGCTTTACTATGAATAAATATCACGCGCCACGAAGTTGTGATTTAATATTAGATTTAATATTAGAAGCCTCAAGGTGCACAATTTCATGTATACAATGCACCATTACGGAACATTTTCTGTGTGAGAAATGGGTTTCAGTTATCGGCACCAACAGATTGTTATTAAAACGCATGAAACCACCTTTATTAGCACGGAGAACAAATAATATGCCTCCCCTTCCATGAAAGAGACAGGAGAATCCGTTACAGATGCATTTTGACGTAACAAAATAGCTGAAGCTATATAAATAGCCGATCATCCGACGCTGTTCCGGAGGCTCATTTTGTTTGAGACCTCACCCCTCCGGAACATAGTCCCCCCTTAAGTCCCCCCTTCACACAGACTCTTGTTGAAGTCAGCCAGTAGGGGTGGCTAAATACCGCAGATATCAGCTCCACCTCAAGTCCCTTGCATTCAATCATCTCTGGGGCGAACGGCACCGACCTCATCGTAGCACTAGCCTGTATGCATCAAGGCGTCAGCACGGTGAGATCCAGCATGAGCATCTTACATCCACACATTACCGTAAAAGTACACGAATCAGGCCACGATGCATGAATTAATAATGAATTTTTTCTGCAAAGTTAATGCCACTGACGGTGGAACGATTTTCCAAGTGAGGGGAGTTATAAGAGCATATGGCATCAGTCATTGATAGGCCGATCCAACGCTCCACCTATCATATGAGCCACCCCCGCCTTGGAAAAGTGGGGGGAGAGGGGGCACGGGCCCCCGCATCCCACTTCCGCCGCCAGTGCGTCATGCTTCGACCTATGGAAGGTATATGATATCTTTACCAGCATGCATTGAGAAGTGCACGTTTACATTTAAAGTTCTGTACGTGCCCTCCTACACAGATGAGGGCGCTGTTGGTTTTGGGCACAGGCGTTTCAGTTCAAATTAACAAACCAAGAATTTAGTTACTGACAACACTGCTGATAAAAGGATGCTGGTTTGCTTATTGCTTACAGATTATTAAAGAAGAGAAGATTTAGGCTGGCACAATTTTTAAAATGGGGGAGTTTTTAGTGAGCAAGCCACTGAAGACATCAACATTTTTGCCCACAAGTATGGAAATGCTCTTACAACGTTAAAAAGGCAGCAAAATAACCTTCAAACAATGAAATAGAATTAAAGTTAATTACAAAGGGGCATTTGGAGGCAAGGACGGATCCAGACCAAATTTTGTGTGTGTATGTGTTGGGAGCAAAAGAAGTAAGCCGCGTCCCCGGTTCACTTTTGCATAGACTGATTAGCATCAGAAATAATTAACTTAGCCTAAGCAAGTTAGTCCCAAACAATGTACTGAACAAAATTGCTCTGTCTTTACAAAATAACTTCCATTTAAGGCACTTAATATTTTCACTGTGATTGATTAAAAGCAATCCTCATCTGGGGGAGGGGGGGCATGGCCCCAGTTGCGCCCCCCCCCGCCACCCGCCCTTATTTGGAGGCTTGTATTCAGAGAACAAAAGAAATACGCGCTACTCCCTTTATTAATGCTTACCTCCACCTTTGCTATCGCATAGCATCTTCGTACATATTCACACAAACCATGTACATCCCTGAGCGTATATTTTGGCCTCAATCAATGATATTATCATACCATGCAACATCATATTCGATAATTTTCCCATTATCCGTAGTTTGGACCATGCACCATAGTTCTAATTTTAAAAAGCTAACTGGGCTTTTTCGGATTATCTCACAGTAGGGGGGGGGGGTTCTGCCCCCAAGAACTTGACTCTCCCGTACCAGGTTTGTTTTAAACACCGCATGCATGCGAACACTTGTTAGAAGTATAAATATGAAGCTTCCGACTACATCACACGTGAGTTTGATTTCTGGAAGAGAACACACTCTTGGCTGACGAACTGTCAGAGAAAAACGGACGCTGCGTGAGAACTATACTGGTTGTCCCCCAAAACGCAACACAACCGTTTGGTATAAAACTAATTGTCAGAAATAAGTAATTTGTAACTAAATTAAAGCTAATGGTGTTTTCTAATTGCGGATATGCAACACGTTTAGTTTATCTTGCAAGTGTATGCAATCGCCCAACTCAAATCCTTGAGTATCACAAAACCTGTTCAGGTCCTAAATTAACTTCTTTGGGATTTCTTTGAGTTCAAAACTCGATGAAACTGATGTTTATTTCATAAGGCAGTGGTTGTTTAATTGTGCATTTTATAGTTTGCAGTTTCAGAGAAACTTACTCAAGTTGAACGTTTGCTATTTACCTCACTGAGTAGTAACAAAGCGCTTATCTTTACTTCTGTAAAATTAACCACTTCAACCATTTCAGGATCCTGTTTGTTAATGAAAAAAAGGTTTTAATATAACACAACTCAACTGTAACACAACAGTTCAGTATCCTCTTTCTTTATAGGTCTTTGCAACGATCTTATGCGTAAAAGGGTATTAAATGATCTAAGCAAATCATTTCGATTGTTTTAATAAGTCCTACTGCACGGGCAAAACAAAAAAAAGTACCTGACGTATTCAAGAATGTCTCTACAATGCACCATCGGATTAAAAACTAGTCTTTATGTTGAAAATTGATATTCTAAACCTCAATTTGATATCAAACACAATATAATTTCTGAAAATTTGGAGAAATTCAATGTTACTTTGCATTACAGATTTTTTTTGGGGGGGGTGGACTTTAAGCCTGGTTTATACAAGTTGATGTCAAAAATGCACTGCGACGATATCTCATAAATATTGAAGGGGTTGGAGGATTCACGAATGACAGAACTTGCTGAGTAGTATTTTTCAGATGTGAAATAGGTTTGCAAAGGCAGCGGAGAAGGAAAACAGTCACTCACCGTTAACGGCATGTGTTCTGGAGCTTGAACACGAAATCAATGACAAGCACTCATCTGGTGTAACCGGCACAGGACGTCCGCAAGCGAACAAGCAAGTACGCACACTGGGCAACTTGTTATAACGTGAGCTTGCGTGCTTAGTCCACCAGGCACGCGTGGATTTTCAAAGTTGACGTTTGTCCTCGAACGTTATAAAGGGGCAGTATGGACGGTTTGCTTGCCAAGCGTATTAAGATTACTTTGTACACAACTAGAATGTTTTTGGGGGGAGATTTTTTTCGAGATAAAATAAAAACTAATTTCTCGAGATGTTTTAAAAAGTTAGAAATAGAAACGAAAACCAGAAATACAGATGACAAAAGGTCACTGAATAATGTGCCAGTGCCTAGTAATTCTGTGCGTCTGAGTCTGTCAAATCAATATTGCACGTATGAAAATCATGTGTGGAATGTAGACGGATGTTATGTACAACATTTCGTTTGTGATATAGATATATGTCAGAGGCAAGCCCGCGGGATATCCAACCTACTGCAGGCAGTTCAAGAGATATACCGCCGATATTTTTCTTATCAAAACAAAAGTCACAAGTGTGTCCCTCTTTTTCCTGTGCTGCAATGTTCCCTCAGATTATCAATTAAACACTGCAAACCATACAATGGTTATGAAAGGTTGCAGGTGCACTGAAACTGTGTCGGATGATCCCTGCATGGGGGTGAGTTAACATGGAACAATTGATGTGGATAGCGACATCAAACTTCAGGTGACGTGTTAAAGCTCAAAATGCCAGGAAGCGGGAAGTTTTGAATGGTTCCCGATGATTTTCATTTACACAATACATATAGTACAGAAACTGGCATCCTTACTCCTTAAATATGTTGTGATTGTTTAATTTGTCATGTACACTTGTACGTGAATCCATATTTCTGGTTTTGTTTTCTTTCAGGTTTTCTTTGAAACCAACGGCTTTCATATTTTTGCCAAATATGATACCCATCCACAAGAAACCTTCGCACGCGACATCTTAATCACGAACTGGAAGAAATCGAGTGTACAGGACTCCACCTCCAAAAATGTTACACTCCCTTTGTGTTGCGTGGGGTGGAAAGGGAAGAGTTGCCCTCCCCCCCCAAAAAAAATGAAAGAGCAAGTGAAATGAAAAAGAACGGGATGAAGGGGGATTGTTTGCTTGAGAAACATCGAAATTGACCTCTTCTACAAAGTTTATCATTTTGTTGCTGATGAGGGCTTTCTCACCCCCCGCCCGTGATAAAAATCCTGGCGACGGTTCATGTCACTCTTGCATACATGCACATCTCCACGATTCCATAAAAAAGCCCCCAGAATCCTGAAACTCCGTAAAGGTCAATGCCCGAGGTACGTACCTGTTTACGAATGGCCTGGGCCGGGCACATTCTTACGCATTATTAAGCTGTCCTTGTGACGTTTCTCTACTCAGTAAAGTGTAGATTAGTTTACGAATCAACCCTGTACTGTAGATTCGTAATGAATCTGTATTGACAAACGGCAGAATATTTTTAATAATTTCCAGGTCTTGTGAACAACCCCTGCAAAAGAAAAATCCCAGTCTTTTCCTTATAATGTAAAACTTACAGGTGTTTTTACCAACAGTTTGACAAGATTTTGTAATGACTAAACTTCTACGTGTCTGTAAAATTTATTAAGGAATACATGTATATTACAGAAGACTACGCCGGTTTTTTTTCATGCTGTTTGAGAGGAAAACATTGAAGTTCAAAAAATGAGGTAATATGCCTCGCATCTCAACCATCCCTAAAGCTACTTTGCAAAGACATTTCGCCCTAATGAAGCATTCCTAGAGTACCTTTTAAAAATATTTTGACAATTTTATGTTTAATTTTACCGCTTTCACTTTTCGATTGCGATTTCTGGATTTGTCGATGGTGATTTCAATTTTTATTTAAGGTTTTTTTGGGGGGGTTCCGTCAAGTATTCTACCTTTTTTCGGATTCATTTGCATGTAAAAGATTATTTCTCATTTGATTTATTGTTTTGCATTTTTATTTCAGAAGCACAACTTTGTAAGGATTTTCAAAAATGTTCACACTTGATTTTAACCACCATTTATCGAATTTGCAATGCAATTATTCGCAGCTGTTGACACTTTATGACATTGTACATAACCTGTATGACCCATTTTGACCGAAGAAGCAATGAAGACAGTACGAGTAATCCACCAGCGTTGATCTGCATGTGCATTACTGTCAATGCTTCTTGTGATAAAAACTGTCCAAGTTAATGAACGGCACAAACATTGTTCACCCAGTGGAAAGGTTAACGATAAGACCCAGGAAAGCCTAGCAGTAAGTGCATATAGGCTAGGAACAAAGTTTTACAAAGAGGGAGCTTGCCAACACTGGCCGTGCAAGCAAATCTCACTGCTGAAGACATTAGTCCGAATGGACAATGTTTAATTGTTTCCTTGTTATCAGGAGAATTTTTGATGTCTTATTTTTGCGCAAAGGCGGACTCGAAGGTCATGTATTACGACGTTACTGGTGTACAAATAGTGACTTTTACAGGAGGTCATCTTTACAAACGTTATCCAATCTGACTTTTTGAGATCCCTAAAGGGGATTGGAAGGGTTGAGGATTCTCAGACGGGTAAAAAAAAAACAACAAATAGGCAGTCGATTTTAGGGAAAAGAGACTCCGACGACGTTCTGGTGCTACATGGAGAGGCTAGCCCGTGATCGCAGTGATCAGTTTGCCTGGATTCCTCCGCGACATTTTATCATGTTCATACTTTACTCATACGTCGTTAGATAAGCACCGAGCGTTCATATCGGTCGCGAGACAGCAAGCGTCTGGTTGTGCCCCTACGTATTAAATCTTGTCAGCCTACCGTAAATAGACACAGCGCTAAGCTAGACATACCAGTGACCCAAATTCAAGGGCCTGTAAGGTTTTAAAGTAGCATTCGGGCACAAAAAAAATCTTCAATAATATTGCTTTGCTCAGTTTTATTTTAAGGCTGGTGGTGTCTATGCTTATAGCTTGCCTCTTCCAATAGCACATCCCAGGGCGGAAAGATATACTGGTCACTCCTTCAAAAAAGGCAAGATTTACAGAGATGAATTATAAAGAAATTGTGACTTTTGCCCCTCCCCAATCTTTTCCAGATAATTTGGTTCCTTTCACCTTCCCTACTGTTGAATTGATGGGAGGTTAAACAAACTACATTAAAAAAAATCCGCGCGCCTCTATTCTTTATAGATAACATACAAAGACTGACGTTTTGTCAACTTTCTTTTAAAAAGGCTTTCCAACTGCTTGAGACTGAAGTATCGGACGGGCTCGTTTTACACGTAACGAGAAGGTAATAACCGGGCGCTGTTCAGAGTCAACAACTGTCTGAAAGATGAATATAGATTCATTTTAGATTTCATTGGATAAATTTCATTTGTTTTGTTCTGAATGTATCTGTGCTTCCAATATTTGGCATCAAGTCATTTTAATAAAACGGCAAGCGAATCGAACCTGGGTTTATTGAGACAAATGAGATTATGCTGACTTCCAACACTTTCATTAATTGTACATGTGCGGTTTTTGCTGAAAGGACAGGGATTAAACGTTGACGACTTGAAAATTATTGTTCTTCAACTTGTTTTGGCAAACGAAGTCCGAATTCTTAAAGCGCAGAGATCTATCGGATCTCTACGAATTGTGTGCTTATAAATTAGTCAAAATGACCAATATAGGTAAGTGTAAGTTGGGTCTCGATATCTTATTAAATCAAGACAGGACTCATTACTCGGTCACCTTTGATAACAATGACATTTTATTGATTGTACACAAACCGTCGGTATCGATAGTTCTTGCACAAACTTGACTGAGCCAATAAGGAAATGGCGCCCCGCCCGGGGATTATGTGCTCTCTTATTGGTCACCTCTGTCAGTAAACGGACCATTGGCGCCGTTTTCGTATTGGCTCAGTCCAGTTTGTACATGAATCATAATAGTAATGGTTCGTGTGCAATCAATCAATAAAATGTCACTTTTATAGAGAGTGCCCGAGTAATGTAACATTTAGTCAACAACACTGACTGACTTTGGTCAAATTTAACTAATATTTGACTTATCTTTTACTTATTAATGTTAGTCATTGGTCTGTCTGACTTATTTATTAATTGGTCATACTAGACATAGAGCTGGACTGACTTTTATTAGTCAAAATGACACATTTTTGCCCAAGCCCAAGGCATCAGCACCAAATTCCTAATGACAAATTAATACAGGTATGTATGTATAACCCATATCAATAAGAGAGCCACCTTTGTCCGATTTACCATTGTGACAGTCTTATATCATCGTTGGCTACCGAACTGTTCGTAAACCCTGTAGGCACATACCTACTGTACCTTTGAATGATATGATATGGCTCTTGGTCAAACATTTTGGGGAACTTTTATCAACGCTATACACGAACTAACCGCAACACATTCCTCTCCGCTTTCACAAAATAGCAGACATTTGTTAATGTTGGAATACCTTTGTCCAGTTCCAACGTTACTATGGCGGTTTACAAATTCACCAAAAACCGTAATTATTAAATTTGTAGTTACTGTACATCAGTAAAAATAACAATGCTACACCATTTATTTTACACTTGTCAAATGGCGGGTTGACATTGCTTCTTCTGTTTTGATAAATTCCAAACCACTCGGCGGTCTACGAACTGTCGGCCTGGCTGGCGAGACAGTTCGCTGGGAGTTTTATCGGAAATCATCGTCCAGTAGCGTGGCACTCTCGATGATTTTCTACGAAAACGCAATGATTTATGTTGGAGAGACCACAAGAATCTGGAAGATGTAATCCAACACAAGAGGCCATCTATAAATTGGGATCTAGCGGACTTATTTCATTGTCTACTCTGTCAGTAATTTCCTCCTGGCGATGTGTTTTTGTTGTAATTTTGCCTTGGTGTTTTTTCGCAGTATATTCTTCCGCATAGCATTAATACACCTATCAAGATCAGAAATCCTAGATTCAAAAACCACACGTGTATAAACCGTTGGGTTGCAACCCTCAGGAGGAGGGATAGGGTACGAGATCTAAAACTTGTTGCATCTCATGAGCTGATCCAGCCTCCCCCTCCATATTGAATCCACCCCCAAACGGTTACAGTGAAGGAGTTCGAATGGAGAAAATAACAGCCACAGCTCAATCTTGCTCAGTCTCAACTTGCTCAGTTGTTTGAATAATCACACATTGTCGGTTGTGAAGCACAAACACTCAGTCACATGGTGTGCGTCAAACGTGTGCCCATACACAAACGATCGAAACAGTGGGCCATTGTGAAGCACTTCCCAACTCCGACTCGAAGTCAACCTTATACAAAGTTATTGACACATTACCTCCCTCAACCCCTAAATTGAAGCGTAGACGTTTTCTGAATAAATCTTTTGTGAGTTAAATAAATCTGGAACAGAAGTCTGAATAAATCTAGCACAGAAGTTGTTTCTATAGCTGTGGAGATGTTAAAGTGCCTCTGAGGTTTCGGAGACTTGCAATATCTCGGACTTGAATGAAGTCGGACTCACGTTGCTATTCCCCCCGTCAGCCATCCCTTCAGCCTGTACGTACTACTACACGGTCGTCGCGCTCGGCTCCGGCAGCTCGCATAACCCTTATAAGGTGCCCTCATTTGATAGCTTTTGATATACAAAAACGTGTCATACGTCACCAGTCAGTAAGTCCGACTTGACGGATAAGCCAATCGGGCCCTTCGTCGGTAATAGTTATTCATAATTGCACATGATTGACATGATGTTGCATAATGTATACGGAATTTCCACCAACCAAAGTAGTCAGACTTGTAGACTCGTTTATTATAATGCAGGTATGGACGACGTAAAAACAATTCTGGCAATGTGATTGGCCGCTATCAGTTTCGGTAGATGAGTCCATTCGCTGTGTACAAACGGTTGACTGATTCGTCAAGTCGGGATTTCTGAAATGAACTCATAGTAACACGTGGACACAAGAGGGCGCGAAACAACTAACGGCGCGCGGTCTCGATATGTATCCAAAGTATCATAAGCGAAGACCTCTCAGAGATCCCGACTTGAGTCAAGTCTAGCAATATCTCTGCGCACCCACATTAATCACACAATAGACTTGTCAATTATCGATGTGACGATTTATTCTCTGTGTACCTAAAACCTATAGAGCATGTAATGAAAATGTCAACAGAGTATTGATAAGAATTAATCTCATTTTTTAAGCTAATTTTCATTTTCCAAACCTCTCTCACCGTCTTTTCTTTTTAAGGCTTTTCTTTACCATCTTACCTACTATCAAAACTACTTATTTTATAGGCCACTGTATTTCCCAACTGATTCTTGCGTACCAAAATGAATCTGCATGGGCCAAGGCCTACTTCTCTTTTGCACGTAAAAAATCGTTGAAATTCAACATTTTCAAACATAAAGCCTGTGTATTAAACGCAAAAATAAAATTGTGTCTTGTTCCTAACAATACTAAACACATTTTGAAAATCCGCGTAAGATAGAAGATACCTTAAGTAAGCAAAATATAACGCCGGAGCACAAACTTCTGTGCCTAACGTCTATTCAAAACCCTCAGGGTCTTCAAATCGTGGAGTACATTTGTAAGCTTATTGCGTGCAAGATTTTATGGTCAAAAGCTGGATTTCAGAAAAACATACATCAGTAATCCTCGCAGTAACCTTGAAAAAAGTGATTATGTTTTTTAACCTGTCGAGTTAAAGGTCACAGTCATTCTGTTTTACCTGTTGACAGGTTCTGAAGCTCAAATCGACAATATCTGAGAGCAGTTCGCGTCGAGAGACCGTATTAAGTACGGTCTGTCGCTAAATTTTAGCAGTTTGGAATCCTACCAAGGCTACAAGCACTTCAAATTGAACAATTTTAAACTCACACTAAGGGCACTTATTGGCAACGAGTTCGATTACATGTACTCTGAATTTCATCACTAATTTAAAATTGCATCAGTTAAACTGAAATTAAGTTTTTTACGTATATGATACGTTTCTCTTAGAAAGTTAAAGAAAAATTAAAGTAAAATCGTATTTTACTCATACAATAAAATCACAACATGCTATATGTTGTTCTATCTATTTTCAAACCTCTATCAAGATTAGTTACATGATCACGTGTAACAAAAATTACCTTGCCAGTGGTATGAGACAGGGGGTGTTATTGTTAGTATTGCTACTGATCACGAAGTGCAATTCCAAACTACTGATAATTGTGCTTGGCTAAAAATATGAAGAAAACGGTAAAGGTAAAACAAAAAAAAATGAGTGAAACCAAACGAAAAGAGATCAACCAAAGAGTGTATTTGGAGGAGATGTTTAAATGTCTGGTTAAGCATCTTTTGACCCTTACAAGCAATTTGAGCCAAAGGGTAAATCAATCATGCTTCAGGATGAGTCAGTACATGTTTAATAGTACATTTTTCAGGTCTTTGCACACACATACATAAGTGCCTCCTAAACTACAGTGACTGAAATAATCTCCAAGATGTATTTTTTTTGGCGTTGGGGAGATGTTAATTTGTATAAAGAGTTTTGTCGGGTAAGCTTGTGCATTTTGTCGCAAGCTCTCAAACAAGCGCTGAGCATACAGTGTTCATCAATATATACGTTGGGTAAGGGCTAAACCCTTTATATAAATGAAATAGTCTTATTTTCTTCACAACAAATGCTGTTTAACATACGACGATACTTTTTTGATTGCAAGATTACACAGCACTACGCGTACTTTGCCAAACACCGAGCAGATTGTACTGTTCTTCGCATAATATTAGTCATCTCTGGCTGCTCTGATTGGGCAATTAGATTATGTTGACAGCTGCTTTGCCAGACACACCGATCAGATCCAAGGACGAGAAAGACACCAGGATCTCCTTGCTCCCAGGCGTCTTTCTTGCTACAACAGTGACTTGGTAGTTGACCGTTTCATTGCCCGCGATGTCTCTACAGACAAAAACAACCAGGGTTTGATAACTTAATCGCAGTACTGTGTAACATTTTCATAATGCAATTAAATATTTCATTAACACAAGACAGGGCTGTTTGTGTAATGTGTGGGGAACATTTTGAAGGTGTTTTTGGTATTTCTTGCACAACTGACAACCTAGGACAGGTTTCTGGGCCAAGGATAGACGGGTTTGCAAAGAATAATTAATGACTGGAACAGGTGTTTAGGACGTGCTCCTCCACGAAGAGTTATAGATACCTGAAAGCTTCCTTCTTGTGCAGGACCACAGCAGGACCTTCTGTGTGGAAGAAACAGCCGCTGAGTACAGTTGACAGAGGATTGGTGAACTTGACACTGGCCGTGAATTCTGTGCCTGCAGTCACAGTCTTGGGAACCTGAAGATATACAACAGAGCAGAGATCCTGAAGAAATTTGAATTCAAATTTTTTAAAATTCAGAATGTATTTAATATTTGATGTATATTTGAAACATGAAGCTACCTGTTGCAAGCAATGTTTTGACACAGCTAAGTTTGACATGTACAATATATACAGTATGTTACATATGCAAAGACACAGGTTTTCAGCAAATTGTGACTGATGCATAAAATCACATCTGAAAACTCTCCTTTTTTACCGTCCACAAAATTTAAAAACTAGAAAAGTCAGATACAGATTACAGTCTTCTAACAAACATTTTGCTGAGGTCAGATATTGGGAAGGAACTCTGACTGTACCTCAACTTCGAGGTCGGGCTTAACTAAGCGGAAATCTGCCCCTTTGGTCACCACCTGGTTTGTCTCGGAGACGAATATGGTAATGTCGAAGTGGAGGTTGGCCTGGTCCACGAGTTTCGGGAGATAGTTGCTGGCTTTCACCTTCCACTCACGAACTGAGATCGTAAATGGGTACAAATCTTTAGAGTTTTCAATTAAAAAAGGAATATTACTTTTGTTCCACCATGAACGATCTAACAGAACGCTTAGATGCAAGAGAGAGGAAATAAGTCTAGTTAGAAAGATCATATTTAATAAGAAATTGCATTTTAATTTATTCTGAAAGATCAGTCACATAAATTCAAAACTTTACTTTAGAAATTTAGTTGTATTTCAAACAATCTATTATACAAAAACCAAATAAAGATTGCAACTGATGCAGAAAGCACGAGTTAAAGACTTAAAGATTTCCTTCATATCAAGCAAAAATGCAAACAAAAGTCGTAGGGAGCATCCAATCGAAGCCTGTTTTGGATGACGTCACACTACGGCTCTGCAATTTTACGACTGTTTCATTATTTCGGGGCGAACGCGTCCATGTGCGTGAGTGCTCTGCTTGCTCAAACTTAACTGTGAATTAAAAGAGGTGGATTGACCCGAGTCGCTCTTTATTCTACTTGGTTCAGAGCGACTCTGAAACGCCTGTCTGAAATGTATGGACAATAAGAGCGACTTGGAATCATATCGACAATGTTGATCAGGCCCGTGAAGGTGATGTCAACACTGGATCATATGATACAATTGAATCGCCCCAGTTTGAACTGGAGTAAGGTACCGATGAAATTCGAGCAGATGGCCCCAGTCATTTGCCGAGAATGACCGACGAGGAAACAGACAGCCTATTAAGGTCGCAAGGTCTAGAAACTCGAGGGGAACGAGAGCCATGTTGTGACATTGTTAAATTGCGAGATTTGTTTGCTGCCCCCGTTGATGATTTTTTAAGGCTCCAGCGCTCTCGCGGTGGAACAGATCTCCCAAAACGACGATTTTTTTATAAATGCAAAGAGAAGCTGTAACCTTGGACATAACATAGGTGAAAATAACCCATCCCCTGTTTAATAACCTTTTGGTATCGAAGCAATGTGACTGATCTTTATAGAGGTTCACAAGTTACTGTTTACTAAGACGACCATGATGACGTTAATTTTAATCCCAAACATTTATTACATGCAACTACTTCTCTTAATGGAACGAAACAATGACATCTCCTTATGATAACCCTACGAAGCGTGCACTCTTGAAAAGAAATTCCTTTTCTTTCCAAACAAAAAAAGGCAATGTTGATGAAATATTATTTTAAAGAATACTACAGCGCTTTTTCTATTCAGATTGTGAACCCCAAATCTGCTCATTAAAAATAAATTTATTTTTATTTTGCTTACTAAACTGTCATGAACTGACATTAATATGGACGTGGACCTCCATTTCAAAGGACAGTAATTACGACAACTTTTTTGAAGCATTTTTCCGACAGGAACACTGCATCTTGTTTTATTTATTTCATTCAGTGTTAAAGAAGTCATTTGTTCTTCCTTTCTGAAAATTTTAAAAAGATTACAACCGACCTGCTTCTGCATCTTTGATGTCGACAGAATCTGCTGACTCAAATACCGGATTTGCTTTCACTCCCGTGTAGTACATTGTATTGCAAGTGATGACGAGAGTCACACTTCGCAGCTCCTCGACAGGGCACGTCTTCTTCAGCTTGGCCTGAACCACAAAGTCCTTGCCGATGAGAACGTCTTCCGGTAGGCCAATCTCCAAGCTGGTGTCCTGGCCCGCCTCCGATATCAGCTTCTTGAGAGTATTCGCGTACTTGTCGGCAGTGAAGAGGCTCAGGTATTCAAAGATGGAACCTGAAAAAGGGAGGAACAAGCTACTGCACTGAATTATAAAAGGCTTGAGGAATGAAGAAATTTGGGCTAAAGAGAGGTTCCTGGGTGATGCAAAACTCGGTTGATTATTGATGGACGACGATTCTTCACACTAACACTGAAATTTACGATATCAAGAAAGACTGCATTTTCAGGGCAAAGTAATAATTACGGCAAATGTATTAAGAATGTAAAAGTATTCAAATGAACAACAGACAGTCTTCCGAACTGTATTCCTATGAGCCAGAAAGGACAGTATTTTTTCCTGGTAATAGCTTTTAGTCTCGCAGGTTATATCGACAAATCTGAGCAAACCTCCGTACATCGCGAAGGCACTGGAAATGGCGGTAGAATTGTATCAGGGTTTCTCTAAAACATCGCTTGGAACAACATAACTGCCACCGTTGCTCCTAACATAGAGTCACGTTTGACCTCGAGTTGTCTTTAAATAAGGTATGCACACATTCATGCCAATTCAGCTGCTTTTAAGCCCAGACTTAAGGCGGCCATTACCTAGTATCTTTGGGCAGTATTTTTGTTGATACGCCCCTATTGCCATGTCCCACTCGGGAATTGTGACTTCATTTCCTGTTAATATCGGTAACGGCGACAAGTCGTAACCGTACTGCGTCCGTTTCTGAAGCGGCTTCTGCTCCGGTAACAATACGTTATCTTACCTTCCTCTGGCTTGTACTGCCGAGTGATATCCTCCCGTTCCATTTTTCCAACAGCTTTCGTCAAAATGCGAGTCCCCACGGCGTCGGTTTCAATATCTATGATTTTTGGCGGCTAGGAAGAAATAAGTGTATTAATGTACTTCGACTTTTGATGAGGGTCGAACATTTTGGCCAGACCGGCAGAGTGCATCGATTCATTGTATTAATCTTCCAAACTTTAAAACAAGCCAACTTGAATATCGGCTAGGATATCAATACAGTACATGTACTGTACATATCATCATAAAAAGAAAGAAACACCAGCAAACAACGACATGTTGCACAAGACTTTATTGCTCGAGAGGTATGCTACCTCCTACTTAGAAACCCTGCTACCTCCTAGTTTCAGGAGGAAACCAACCAAGTACAATGTACCAAGTGCCTGTACTGTACGAGAAAGATCAAGATTAAATTAGACAAGTTTGCGAGTGAAAGGACATAAAGTTTCAGTTTAAGAATGGTCACTACGTAGAGTCTGACATATTTGGCATCGTTCAAAAACACACCACCCCCAGCCATTTTAGGCCTCCCCCCCTTTCAAAATCGTTTCGCCGCCGCTGGTGTCCGAAGTCTTAAAAATCAGGAACCTTTGGAATGTGCTGGAATAAATCTCTCTACCTCGGAGTAATCCTTGCTGATCAGCCATTTGACTTTGCAGGCATTGACCTCGGCAAACACGAACTTGGTGTCGTAACTAAAGAACACTTGGCCGCTCTTCACTGCAGTCAGGGAGGCAGGTCCGGTACGGTACACATCTTCATGAAAAAAATGAAAAGAGGAGCAACACTCCCGAAACTCAATTATCAGAACACAGGTGTCTACCATAACAAGTGAACGCGTCGTGACAATGTCTTTTGCTTTGTGAACTGTATCCCACATTTAGCGTCATTTCTGACGTCATATACGGAATATAACCTTTAATGGCCAACACTACAGGCTCTCCCGATTTATCTTTGCCAAAGGTATACGGTCCATCAGTAGCGATGGCTCTGCTTAATTCTTATTTGGCGATCTAGATAAAAAGTACAGTTGATATATATGGGTCACTCTGAGTCGACAAAAACTTCAGCATGATCACCGCTTTATGGACGAACCTTGGAACTGACAGCATACCGTTGTTGTCATTTCTGGGAGAATCGGTAATGTCTTGAGGCTGCTCTGATCAAGTCAGGATGAAGTGTGTTGTTGAAATGTGTTGTTGAAGTGTGTTGGACAATATGAAGGAACTGGGATTAAAAATTACAGTGAGCGGTATTTACAATCGCTTTGCTCCTGTGGAGTCGAGTCCACCGCTTGCCATCCACCGTAGCCCTTGGGTAGGTCACGGCGGGCCATCCAAGCGTCGTTCCAAACATGAAAGTTCCTGTTTTTTGAGGGACGTATCAACAAATATATCGGTTATCTTGCCAAGGTAAGAGATAAGGAAGTGTCTACATATTGATCTTTCAGGATAATTCGTTGGAAAAAGGGAATGCCAACGAGTGTCCTTCCTGCCCTAAGAATTTTACGATATCATTCTATAATTATACAAAATGGGCTGATGAGTAATTTCTAACGATAGCTGATATTAGTCCTAAAACCAAAATCATATTCATATCGTCAACTCAATTTAGAAACCCAAGATCTCTATTTACACTGCAAGAGAGTTGAAACGTAATTTCAAGAGCTGATTGTCAAAATCAGGAATTCCCTCTCCTTGTATGGTGTCACAGAAACACGACTAATGTTTTTAAGCGTTTCACAAAATGACAGCAACAAACGTTAATCTCGGATTTTATTTTTCCTGTTTGAGAACATTAAATTAAAGCTATTTGAACCGATTTTCAATTTTTTTTTCAATGTTGAACTGACCAGACGCTGTCGGCCGTTCCAAGTGATTTCCCATCGGCATCGTAGTGGTAGTCAATCAGGCAGTTAGCGTCAGTGTCATGCGCCGAGGAGAAGTTGGTGATGGTGCGGGCCGGGATACCAATGGCGCGGAGAGCTGACGTTTAAGTAAGGAGAAACATTACACTAAGAATCAATGTTTTTGCCCCCCCCCCAAAAAAAAAGTTCAGCGACGAGATCAAAAATGCGAGATTTTCTTTTGGACATCCTTCCAGTCAATAGCTTCCACTTGGGAAAGCTGTCGGTCAAATCGAACTGGATATTTGGGTGGCGTTTGGCGTTTGAACTGTCCCGTTTCGATTTTTTAACAAACAGTAAAAAAAGGGTGATTCTAGTTGTCTTTAAATTTACTTTCCTTTGAAATTAATTATTTGTTTAATTGACTCATAACGAAAACGCAATAAAAACCAATGCCTAACGGTCTTAATGGAGGTAAAGTGAAGTTTATATGTTTGAATTTGAGTACTGACACAGTCCTTCATACTGGGGAGTGGCAGGTAAAACGTGGAACGCCACAGATAGTCCGACTGAGAATGCACCATGCCATGAGTGTTTTCACAAATGTCTAGGTGTCCACTTCAAAATGAACAAACGTCCCACAAGTTCCGGTTGTAATTTCAGCGTCCTGGTTGCCGAGCCTACCTGTGGTGAGCAGACCGCCGAACACCCAGCATTGCCCATATTTCACTGGCAGCCCTGTCCTGGTGTACTCCTCGAAGATGGAGGCGCTCCCGGACCAAGCTGTAGGCTCCGTGCCATCCTCGTACTTACCACTCCAGTTGCCCACCAAGATTCCGCCCTCATCTTGTGCATTGACCTGCCAGTAGTGTTGTCGTAATTAAAACCTTCATAGTTTGCTACACAAAGGCATAACAGTTTACACTGCCGAATCCACGGTGTAAAAATCAACACCATGGTGTACTATGTATTTCTCCAAGGTTTTTTATTACCCTATCAAGATCTGAACTATGAGTTAATTTTAAATTTTAGGTTTCAACCAGTACTTAGCAATTAGTACCTAATTTAGAAAACCAGTTCAACCAATACTTAGTAATTAGTACCTAATTCAGAAAAAAAAAATCACTTAAGAAAAAAAACGCTGCTGGCGACTCCATCTTATTTCAATTATTACTATAACCACAGTGTCTACGATAACGACGATATGTGAATGAGACTTGAGAATGTGCATAAATATGCATCCTTTTCATATTTCTAACATTATGTCAACAGAATTATTAATTTTAGAGTGACTAATTCACAGGTTTATGTAAAAAGAATTTTCAGATGCACAGATGAAGAGGCAGTTGCAGCTACCAAAGCTTATGTGTCACTTTCACGTTAATATGCTCGTACAATTAACAGGGAATCTCATTAACATCAGAGTCCGGAGAAATACATCTATGTCAAAGTTTTCAAGACACATTATGTTCCTAGTTCGTTACCAACACTCACCAGAGCCGACAGCTGCCTAGATACCTCAATCGCGTTGGAATAGGTAGCAGGTTGCTTCTTGGAATCTTCCAGAAGGCGAACCACACACTCCAGGATACCAGACTCAAACTGGAAGACAAACCAACATACGTGAAGCAGCCCCGAGCAATACAATGCTTAACTCGGCAGATAACGAACAACTGACGATAGTCTATTGTCAGTAATGAAAACACCTGAAGCCAAGCAAACTTCTGATAGAGCAAAACTAAAAACAACCCAATAGCTATACTGGCTGATATCCACATTAACGTTAGAACGCTGTGGTTTTTTTTCTAAACTATAACAGTTACTAAGCTTTTTTTGATGCATTAGCCTCTTGTTAATACCTTTAAATAGATTCACGATGAACGTGTAAACGGAGGCACGATTACATGAAGTCAGAACTGAATGTAATTCAAAATTTCAGACTTCCACACCTGTGATTTTGTAACAATGCCAGCCGTGCACTTATTAACATTCTGAATAATTAAACTCGCAGCAATAGCCGCATTCTTATTTTATTTCTATCTGCTCCTAGCGGGAGCAAGAGAGGAGCGTGTGTTTACATCGCAAAGACGGATGATGGGAACTCACCGCGTGTGCGCAGGAGGTTTAATCTATTATTCATGTATATCTGTGACATTTTAGCCGCGACTAGTAAAACCTTGTTTCCATATGGTTGCAACGGACACCGACGGCATGCAAGATGTCAAGACGCAGACAGTCGCCGAAGAGACGCTGCATGACGTCATTCTGCTAAAAATTAGGTGGCAATATGTCTCTTGAAGTCACTACTTAAATTTGATGTTCTTTTATTGTCAGCTATTTTGTTAATGATTGGAGCTCAAGTTTTAGTAATATGGAGAGAACAGACAAAATAAGAGGTACTAAAGGCAAAAGACATCGTTGCACACCGCTCTTGGGAGCGCGCATTACTAATGTGTGAACCTACTCCGGCAACTCAACACAGACAGTCCGCAAAGTTGAATCAATTTCTTCTTTGTTGACTCTCGGTTTCCCTGTTTGCGTCAACAAGGAAAGTCCCAAACAAGACGTGTTCATTATGTCAGCGTAGCATCGGGGGCCCTTCGGCAACGCTGTTGGCAATTATAACAATTCTGTGGAAACCAGGCTTCTTTCCTTAAAATGTAAGATCTTAGCGTGCATGCCAGACTCGCGCATGATGAGCCAGGTCGAAAAACTTCCCACCAAGTGGTCTCTTCTTCGCCGTTCAAGATGCATTTCAACTTTGCCAGGTCAGAAAACCTTCACGTAAGTATTCAGGAAAGAGAGAATGACTGACCTGGCCAAAATACCACGGGGATGATCCAGTGTAGTGGTCGGTTCCGTAGAAGTACATCCCCATGTCATTCAGAACGTACTCCTGCCTCAACTCCTCTTTGTGTAGGAACACCTCATCGGCTGGGTGAAATGAAGATGAAATGAAAATTTAAATGTCAGGAATTCACTGGTACCGGAAATGGAACTAATACACATACATTAGGAGAGGTTTTGCATCGTCTGATTCCATTATGTCAGACATTGCGCATGTCTTTGAGTAGTTAAATCTGACGTTTCACATCACTTCACAAAGGACAACACATCTCGTTGAGGTGCACAATTTTACCATCTTATCTTCAACACAGAGAGTGACGAAATAAAGGGTCAACTGTCAAAAATTAACAGTGTTGATTAATCAGGTGAGCAGTAAAATGACATCCAATGACCGTAACCAAGTTTACCTTGACACCATGGATTGAAAAGAACGTAGATGCCTGCCTCCAATTTGATGCGGAAGGCAAGGGCGCCCCCAACGTTGGTGCGAACCGCCATATTATACCGGCCGACCAAACAGTCGGAGGGAATGGATATCTTCACGGTCATTTTGGTTCCCTCGGCTCCGATGACCTTTGCCCTCCACTCGTCGACATCATCGCTCGACCCACCAATAGGATGAACGGGAATGACGATGTGGCTGTCATGAGACGACATTGGAATGTCCCCTGTCATCAAGACATAACAACATTGGAGGAAATCTGTCAATAACGCTTGGTAGATACAAACAGTTAAGACAAGGAACTGTTGGATGTTTTCTAGGACTGCTCTGTATTCTGTACAGACTTTTCCTGTATCCTAAAACCATACTGAAATAATTTACAGTGGGGGTATATTGCCATAGGGGTTTGACTGTTTTTTTACAACACGTGTAGTTCCCTTGGGAACAATGAAGAAATTACTGTAAAATAATGACGCAACTTATGCTTAATTTTAAGGCTGTGAATATTTTGCCTTCGCCGTCAAAAGTTTTGAAACGATATACCCACTGCCTTAATTTTAAATTATATCAGTACAAGGCTCTTTGCGTTAGAATAATACACGTAAATCCGAACCAAAAATGATTATATAAAGGTAATCAGCTACCATTGAATTTTATTTAGCTGAATGAGGAAAAACCCTCCATGTTTCAACTTGAAATAAAGAATAAAAATCTGTTACAAACCGTATATCAGTTGCATGATATGAACAGGACGTATTTTGTTGTGGGGGTGGGGCAATTTTCACAACATCTGCTGTCCTTTGAGGATCATTGTTCTTCCATTCAGCTAAGAAATTAATTTTCAAAAATGAAGCACTTAATATACACTTGATAACATTTCATCAAATGCGAGTTTGTCAATGCTGAACCACCGCAAGACAATGGAGGGTTGCTACTGAAGCAGTTACCGCGATCTGGGTGCCTTCCTTACCCCACCACATTTCGATGAACACTCTGTGGCCGGCTGCTGCATCGTACTGCTTAGTCAAGTTGATCTCCACTTCGAAGGCCTGGCCACGCCTCACCACCAGTCCGGCGTACTCGTACTTATCGGTGCGGTGAGCCGGTCGGTTCTTCGCCGTCTGAAGGTCCACCGACTCCACCTTCAGCTGGCCCTCTGAAGAGTCAAACAAAGTAAGCTCGAGTGCTGCCATCTTGGGAGACGGTCCCGGACGGCGCAAACAGGGGCAGCAGCACAACATGACATCCAAAAAGGGATAGAATCTCTACGATTTCCATACCCCCCCTCCGAATTTTGCTTTAGTTTGAAAATTACTCCTAGTAGTATTCATATACGCCAACATTAAATCTCACTAGCACGTTCGTTTACTTTTACACATAGAAATATCCAAGCAAAGCAACACAAAACAAACTCCTATTTTAAGACCTAAATACTGCAAGGTTTTTGGAGGATTCTTATCCTAGCAAATGAAGCAATCGCTACAACAAGAATCTATCCTGTCATATCGTCCCACAAAACAAAGATGAGAAATTTCATGCAGGATGTTACCTACACAGTCAGCAAAGAATTTACAGTTTAAGAACAGAATTAACAATATTATTATTGAACAATGGACAATTCTGAGTCCAAACCTTTGGGGTTGAAAAACATCTTGAACAAACTTTACACTGCAGGCAGTGTTGTGTTAATCTGAATCCAAAAGGTGTTAAACGGCCACGCATTGTCCTTTGTAAAGCTATTCTTGCAGAGGTTTCTTTGTGTCCCATTTAACTTGATTTTCTTTTTCTTTCTCTGTTGATGCAAATTTTGTGATTTTTGATGATGCGAATTTGCATTTGTGAGAACAAACGTGTGTCGTCATCCACATTGAAAACCTCATAAGTGTAATAGCTATTTCAAATTATGTCGAAAATTTTATTATGGTGATACATTGTTTCACGCGGGCCGTTGAGCAAAACTTATTTAAAAAATCGGCGAGATAATTTTTTTTAACACTTTGAACAGAAAATCCAGAACGAAGTTCCTTCTTGAAATGATCCCGCAATAACAGCCCCCCCCCCATTTTGTCAGGAAAAGCACTGACAATTTTAAATACAATTTCAAAAACCTGAGACAGAAATCAAACAGAAATTTAAGATAGTTTTCTCGCATTTACAAGGAGTCTAACGCTGCACTAAACACACTGCCAAGTGATATAAATCTCACCATTTCAAAGTTTTTCCGGCTGTATGGATACCACATGGTTCCAACTTTACATTTTTTGCAATTTGTTTTAATTACCATTTTAAAAAAGACAAGGACAACTTTTGATGACGCAGTTTTGTTAGGTAAACGGCCTTCCATTACTATCCAATGGAATTGCATTCTATGACGTGAAATCAGATCTCATACCGATTTCTGGCGTTTCTGGTATATCGGCTCTCGGCGGACCTGAATCACCGATTCGTCCAGCCAACGCCTCACCAGATTCTCTCGCTGGCTGGTTAGCCGCCATGATATCGTCTGATTATAACGCTATATAGGTTCAAGTCAAAGAAAAAAAAGGGTCAGACGACTAATAACCTTTAAAACAGCACTACACCTGATTCAAGCTTTATCTCAAAACGCAGAAAAAATAAACGTATTTATAACTGTCTTAATGCGCAATTTTCACGGAAATAAAATGTTGGGGGAAAACATCTTTGAAGAAAATATTTTACAGAAACTATATGGCTCTGTTGGGACAAATAGGAAATGTGTCCCAACAGAGCCATATAGTTTCTGTAATTGTAATTGTAGTTTCTGCAATTGAGGACAAATCTCCAAGTGAAAAAAAGCTGAACAAATGCGTAAGCACGTTTTTATCAATGCCTTAATGTCTCTTTGCCAGCATGCTTTGTAACACAAACACAGAAACGAAAAAACACCTGCGGTTACATGCAGGAAGTCAACCTTGCGCATAATGTGACAATTGCGTACTTCACCTATGACCTGTTCACAGCACAGGTGTTTACTCTCCGTTTACTGGGAGAAACGCTATAGGGTTCGTGATCTGATCACGATTACATGGCAATATATTACTGCACGCTGACAGGATGTTCCCTGCGTGAGAAATGCATTTCAGTTACTGACATCAGTAGATTGTGCTATAATTTTAAAAAGTCTAAAACCACAGGGAGAAACATGAGGCTACGACATCATGAATTCCTTTCTTTGGGAAAAGGAGGAAATTGCCATTTCTCATGCATGATAAGCAGTTGAACAAAACAGCTAAAGCTGTAAATAGCCGATCAGCCCCTCCTTGTTTACGGGCTCATTTCTCCAAGGCGCCGCCCCTCCGGAACACGAACGTCTTCAGAAGGGAGGGGTTGTGGAGGTAGGTGTCACCCACACATGAAGCAAGATATGAAACAGAGAGACCCCCCCCCACCCGCTTTGTGTTGGTCATTGTTTCACTGGAATCTGAGGAATTCTTTTCAGACATCTGGGGGGGATGTGTTAGTTAACAATAGTCTAGAGTGTCTATAGCGATTGGACATGTTGGGGGGGGGGTACCCCTCGGTCTCATTGCTTACTGGATATAGTCACCCCAGTGCTGTATAAAGAGAGTAGCGCCAGCTTCAGAATTTGGAAATTGAATGGCTGCATGTTGATCCTTCTGCTCCACAGCGTGCGGCAACAGTGCATGTACTTTTTATGTCAACTGTCCAAGTGCACTGGCGAATATACCAGACAGTCTTTTTCCAACAATTGTGGCGCAGCATTCATGTCGAGGTAAGCCTTATCGCAAATACTGCATGGTTGATTTTGCACAATGGTAGAAAGGCATTGTGGGAAGCCTGGAAAAAGGAGCAAACATTGCCTCTTTTTCAACACTGTACGCGGCTCTGTGTCGCCCCCGTCAGTTTTGTCGGCAAAACCATGGCGCTGTCGCTTATAATGGAGAAGGAAACTGAGGGAAAGGAAAGGGGAGAGGTCACGCCAGTGTCAGGTCAGGGAATCAATCTGAGACCGCCATTACTCTCTTTATGCAGGACGGTTCCATCAACAAAACATTTACAATGGCATACCATGCACCCCCCCCCCGAAATGATCTTAAGCGTTGTCCGTGCTCCGGGAGACTCACAGACTCACTTAAAATTCAGATATTAAGAAAGTCCGGGTCCATTTGTATAATGTTCAATCATGTCTGGTGTGAACGACTTGCCGTCTTCCCATACTAGTGCTTTATAGCTTTTCCGTATCAAGGTATCAACGTAATACATGCACAGGGATGAAGCGCGGCCACGGCACGTCCATGCATGACTTACTAGGAACAAATGATGCCATCCCTCCGTTTATGCATAGAGCAAGGAACAGATTCACCGGATGCACACGCCTGCGTACTCTCGCATGATGCAGAGCAACGCTTCAAATTCACCCAAAAGACCCCTTGACATGCTTGAGCGTACATACTGATTATCATTCCTGTGGAACATCAAATAGCATTGTAGTCTCAAGCACGATGGTTGGAATAAAACCTTGTCTAATAATTGTTCAGGTGTAGGCCTACATGTAGTAAGCTTGTACAGGCAAACAACAATTCAAACAGTAACTCACCTTTTATGTAATGGCGCTGTGAACTCGAAATCAACGACAAGCTCTACTCGTCGTGCGTTCCCAAGCTCTATGGCGTGACCGACTGACGAGCAGGACTTCCGCAAGCGGAATAACATACATGTACATCAGGGCCGCAACTTCCACAAAGGCGAGCTTGCCTGCTTGATCGACCACGCACGTGCGGTGTGCATTAACAACTAAAGCTGTTTGTTTGATATTTTGTCCTCGAATATTATGATAAAAGGGCAAAGTTGAAGATTTACTTGTCAACCATTTTCAGACAACTTTCAACGGAACTAGATTGTGTTTGAAATATTTTCTCAAGATATAAGAGGAGAACCAGTTTCTCAATATAAAAATGAGAAACCAGAAGTTATAAAAAAGGAGCAATAATATGATGACCATACCTTGAAATCTGTTATAATAAGTATCAAAATCATTTGGTGGAGGTTATCGTTTTCGTGAATATCATTATTATATATCATACACACAAACCTGCGGGGAGATTGTCCGTAAAATACATTGTCAGTATAACATTGCCATGCACGCATACGGAGTGTGAATCTCTACTTCTGTTTTTCATACGTGTTTGTTTTTTATTTATTTCTTGACTTCATTTTAGCCTGTGGCTTTCGTAGCTCGGCATACATGATTCTCAGTCACAAACCAACCTTAGACGCTTCCCTGCACACGTTTTCTGAAAAAAAAAGGTGTACTACGTCCCCACGTGGGTGGAGAGGCATGTTTCCCCCCCCCCTGGTGGTTCTAGCCCCTGGCTCAACTTCGCTCGGCCTCAGCTCGACTTGGCTCAGGTCGACTCGGCTCGGATCCGTTCCATTCGATTCCGTTAATATCACCAACCAACAGCAGGTTTAGCATGTATAGACCGTCCTTCGTACCTTGCAAAGAAAATGCTCCCCATTTGGGAAAACCGCCAGGCCGTCATTGCATTATATAAGGACAACCTTCCGGGCTGCTTTGGCAGGCCCGTTTCCTGACTGCACTGATAATTTTGCCCAGATTCGTATCATGCTTACACTCTACACGTACATGTATGCACAAAGCGGGTCACCGTGAGGGCAGGCGTTTGCATGCACCTAGCCATGTGTTCATCTTGTACATGTACATGTACATGTACATGTACATGTAGATGTACAGTACATGTACATTTAGAATGTACTGTAAATAGACCCAACGATCACCTGGAGAGATGACCCATATCCAAGGTCGTGGAAGGTTTTAAAGGTGCATTCAGCCACGAAAGCGATATACTACGCATTTTCCCTGAAATCTGTTTCACCGTGTGTTTAAATCCTTCATTAAGGGCCTTTTCCGCATGGAGGAAACATGGTCACTCCTCCAAAAGAGGCCAAATTTAGTTACTTTTTTCGGGGGGGGGAATTGGATTCTTGGTATTTTTTTAAAGTGCATACCCCCTCACGAAACTTTAACCTCACGTATAAGAGCGCGAAGATTATTCATTAAAATTTGTTACTTTTTTGTCCCCTCTTCCTCCCCCTCCAAACAAAAAATCTCCCCCCGATAATTTCGTTCTGGATCCGCCCTAATTTTTCCTTCCCTACTGTTGGATTAATTGGTGGGAGGCTGAACAAACCAGGTGAGAAAAGAAAAGGAATCGAAGCGCTTCTAGTCTGTATAACATTGCCATCCGAAAGCTGAGATTTTTGTTAAAATTTTTTTTTAAATAGGTTCAGAGGTCTGAGTTAATGAAATACTGGACAAGCAATTTTTTTTAAGTGAAAAGAGAAGGTAATAAGAGGGCGCTGTTCAGAGTCACCGCTGTCAACCTGGGCAAAGTTCGAAGGAATGCAAACATTGTACATAGAATTGATTTATACAATATGTTGGGGGGTTCCTCAAAATAACTGTTTCGCCAAAAAAATTGAGTCCAGACAACGAGTAGTTTGAGGCAGGCTCAAGTTCCAACACGGATCTTGCAGGAGGGGTTGGGGATGGACCTAGGCGGGATGGGGGGGGGTTAACTCCCTCCCCTGCTCTGACACCCCCCCCCCCAAACGTATTACGGGCGATTCACAATGCAATGTGCCACCAAGAGATTGTCACCAAGAGGCATTTCGCAGTGCTTTGGCTCCGTCTCGGGCTTCAACTGTTTTTTTTAGTAGCTGACTTGAAAGCTGTAAGCGAAGTAGTTAGTCTAATAGTGCCGGAGAACATCAAATAAGATAAAAGAAAGCCAAAAATTACAGAAAGACAATGTAATTTAATTGAACTCTTCAGGCCCACAATCGGGCATTGGTTTGGGACTGGGAATGAAGCCTGAGACGGAGCGAAAGTTGTGTATTGGAAAACGGCCAAAGGCTTATTCGCTGCAATTGCACTGCGCTGCGCCCCGACAACTTGATGTTTTTTTGTAATTTTTGTTCATCTTGGTTAAAAATTCGAAACTGCTAATTGCAATGGGTGTTAGGTAGTCAAAATGATAGTTTTGAGTGGTGTCGGGAACGCCTCAATCAATCAATAAAATATAAAAAAGTGACATGTCTGCGGAGTGGTTCGCCGAATTGTGAATCGCCAATATGTAGTAATTTTTTTCAAAAAAAAAAGACATCCTACGACATTGTGTACTTGGATGAAGGTAAGTGCACCGGTTAGAGTGTAACGCGTTTCCTTTGCTCCCGCCTCTCCGCTGCAAATGGACATTAAAAATAACTGGATGATACTTGATGCGCCCCTGGGTTTATCGAGAAAAAACGAGTTGTGTGCAGTTGTCATTATAATTTTCAACTTGGTCAGGAATTTCACGTTTAAATTCCGCCTTTGGAAAGAGCCAGAAGTGAAAGTTGACGAATTCAAATGTACTCCTCAACTCATTTTGGCAGAATAGTCCGAATTTGTACCATACGCCTATCAAAAATATCAGATACATAGTACCACAGGCCCCATCCACTGTGGGTAGAAACACCCCTCTTCGGTTGAAAAGAGCCACGTTAGTTGGGAATGTTCATGTTGCTGGTAGTGACGCGCCCGTAACGCGTGCCTTTCATAGTCATTTGTGGACCAGCGCACTGTAGTTCCGATTAAAGGGTATTTCAAGCCCCATTGAAAACAGTGTAAAATCAGCACCGTTCAGGGCCAAATAGCATGCACGCCAACATACCTGAGATTTCTGAAACACAAATGAAATTATTGTCTGGTCCCTTGTCTTTCAATTTATTTTCAAATTTTTTGTGTGGGTTAAATTATTCCCACAAAGCAAAATCCCTCCGATGGGCGGCCACCTAGGCAAATAGACAACGCGAAAATCAAAACAAAATTTTATTTCAAAAATTAACAAAATAAAATAAAGAAATATTTTAAAAATTAAACAAAAAGAAAGAATTAAAATTAAGAACAATGAATAAAAATTGAAAAAAAATTGCAAATGTATAAACGAAAAACCAAATGAAATTCTTAAAAAAATATATAAATAATAAAAAAAAATAAAAAATAACTAAAATAGAACACAAATAAGCTTTGAAAACAGAAAGAATCAGAATAAGCCAGAAAATATAAATACTGAAAAATTAATACAAATGAAAAATAAAGTAGAAAAAGAATTAAACAAAGTAAAAGAAAAAATTGTTAATAAAGACAAAGGAGAAATCTACTATAAAAATGACTATACAAACTGTTATTATTGTTTGAAACGAAGTAGAAAAGAAAATCTCGAAAACAAAAGTGCTAGTGGCAAAATAAAATTGCAAGTGACAAAACAAAATTGTAACTCGCAAAACAAAATTGTAACTCGCAAAAAGACTGACCAACTCTTAACGTTGGGGGCGTGCGAAGCTCAGTGCATGCTGCGCGCGTTTGCTTGCTGGACTTCGCTCGACCAGCGCGTCGCGCCGACAGTGGAATAATTATTTCCGTCGTTAAAATTCTATGAAGTGTATCTATTTCCTTAGTAGCAACGATTCACCGAATATCTTTACCCTTTGACTTGGCCGCTAAAATCTTCGAATGATGGATTGATAGGATAGGTAGAGCACGATAGCACACAAGGTACGAGGACGCGTTTGTTTTCTTATTCCTCTTATGCCTGGGCATGATGTTGTTTACAACAATGGTATTAATAATACCAATGTTGTATACAACATCATAAGTAATGGCTCTGGCAATGCAATAGCAAACTGTACACGTGCCCAAGCGTACATGGACGCCGCCATGGTGCTAGTCACTAACTACCAGCGATAACCGGCTGTTTGTTCCCGGCGTTCGAGCGGCTGACCAACGAACAACAAATCGAGCTGTTCGTGAACAGTATGGGAACAAGCCGCCCGAACTCAGCGACTGTGACGGACTATGAGCCTCGAACTAGACCAAGAAAGGGCTCAATTTTCTTAGCAACGGGGGCTCCTTTGGTCGGAACTGAACTTCACTGGTTCACGAACAACTATAAAATGCATGCGTTACGGACGCATAGCTACCAACAAAATGAGTGCAACTCGAGTGCATTCACTCGTCGCCCAGGGCCCAAACAGGGTGCTGGGAAGGATTGATGGCCTTGCGCAAATTTTACTGAAGGAATTATGTCACACAAGATCACAGCTAACGACACGCAAAGCATTGTGGGTAAATTTCTGCCAGGCGCGAAAGCAGTCGCTCAACGTGTTACACAAGCGGCGATTATCTCTTCGATATTTTTTATTTTTTCCTTTCTCATTGCTGAAAATATCTTACTATACTTTATTCGTTCATCCAAAATTGATCAAAATAACCAATGCTTTGAAATATATCGCCAAGAGACATGATCAGTGATACTTAGTGAGGAGACAGATTACCGCACCGTGATTGTACTACGTTTTATCATATAGCCGACACTTTGCCCATGCTAAAGCATTGTCATTGGCGACCAAAAAAATTTAATAACGCTTCGCTAATAGGAAGTCATATACCTCGCAGTCACAGGTCATGCACATTATAGCCAATCAAAGTGCAAAACCATCAGCCCTTCCCGGCCTAGGGCGCTGGGCGACGAGCGAATCGAGTGCACTCCCGACCAAGTGGCTTCAACCGATTCTCCTGCTCGAGGCGCATAGTCCTACGTTGTCGTTGACTATTGAAATGTTCGTAGGCCCGAGCCCTTTGGGTTCTTTTTCCCACGTTAAAACTTAACTTCCCGCAGCACATTCCCCTCCGCTTTTCACGAAATGGCACACCGCATTTGTTAGTGTTGGAATGCCTTCGTCACGCAACATTCCAACGTAACCAAATGCGGTTCACAAATTCGCCCAAACCATGACGAATTGATGTAACTTAAATTTAGACCTATTGTCAGTCAGAATAACACTGCAGAGTTTTTCTTTTAATTTGTCAAATGGTGGGTTGACATTGCCTTCCACTATCCTGGTAATTCCCAACCATAATGCGGTCTAGGAATCATCAGTCTGGCTCGCGAGACACTTTACACTTATGTTATTGAAAATCATCGCGCTGTGGCGTCGCACTCAGGTCATCTTCTGCGAAAATGCAATGATTTATATAGGGTCTTTACAAATTCTCAGAAGTTATTTCAAATTAATCTAGAGACCACACGAAGCCTGTTTTGTTTTTCGGAATGATTACATCCAACAGAGAAAGCTATCGAGGATATCACAGACTTATTTCGTGCTTTATTCCATCAAAAAAATATGTTTATGTTGTAATTTCGTCTTGTTGCTTTTTCGCCATGTTCTTGAGCACCACGTTCATACGCCTACACGAACTGAATTCTAAGAGTCACAAATCTACGTGTGTAAACCTTAGGGCGTATACACCTCACGAGAAACAGGGAACGAGATGTAGCCTCCTGTGTTTCTTCGGAGGGGAGATAGGCCAAAGACTCATATCCAGCCCACTTTTCTACATTGAATCCACCCCAAGCTCCAAAAAAGTTGTTGTGGAGGAGGCGGAATGGAGAAAATAACACATGCAGGCAAATCTTGAAATTGAGTTCGAAGATAACCGTAGATAGCTGGTTGTGCAGCGCGAAAAAGCACACAGTGCACTTATTGTGCCCTCACCTACCCAAATGATCAAAAGAATGAGATCTTTATTTGCATTTTCCAGCCCTCTTTGACCAATTCTCCGCCCATGCTAGGAACAAAGAATTGAGAATGGTAGAAAGTGAGGTCAGTTTAGTATTGACTTGATTCAATATCCGCAATAAAAACTTAGGTGTTTGAAGACGAAAGCAGTTTGCTAACGAAATGGTTGCTAAATCATGATGATAACATGCTCACTTTAACTGATTAAGGACGAAAATGGCGCAAACTAATCCAACCTCACAGTAAGGAAGGCCAAAGAGAAAAGAGGAAGAAACTATACTGAGCAAACCCGAGTTTCACTGAAAATGCTAGAAGAGGAGGCATGCCCCCTGAAGCAATTTAAAGGCTAACTGATCAGTTGCTCAGTCTGGGAATTCAAGATCTAGTTTGACATAAGGGTGCAACTGCCTTGCAATTGCGATTCGTTGCCTTGTTATTTTTCCTTCATCGATCGGGACATATTATATAGGGTTCTTTGTTGTATGTTGCTCCCATACAATGTGGAGCGGATACACAACTGATTTCAAGGGTGAGGGGTCAAAGAGATTCCATATGTCTGTCTGAGCATCTGGGATGTTTGATTACAAAAAAATTATTTACCGGAACATCAAATCAGTACTCGTTATCCAACCCCGTGACGGCCTCAACGAGGAAATTTGAATCCAAACAAGACAGACACCCACCTCTTTAAAAGTATGGGTCACCGCCACTGGGTGCGCGCAGTCGCCTTGTGCCATCGGAAACCACTTCCAATCATTTTTCATAATTCGATACACATTTTGAGTTTGATTGTCTCTCGGCGTCATGTCCCGGATTCCGTGCCGACGACAGCTGTTGCATCGGGGAGTATTGAGATAACACAAAACGGCCGTCGGGTACAGGCTCTGCGTTCGCTCATGACACAATCCTTGTGAAACAAAGAAGCCAGCCCATGGGTGCCGGGAGTTGGTGCTCGGAGTTTGGGGGACTCCAAGGAAGGCGTCAGTCATTCGGTGGCTTGCTCAGGAAGCGAGGCGGCACGCACGCGAAGCTGTGTCTGCGGAAATGTCAACAGAATCAGGAGCGATGCAAGTTGGCAAAGTTGTCATTCTGGGGATGTGGCTTGGTGTCCTCTTTTTCAGTGGACCGTCATGCCACGCTGCTCCAGCCAAAGAAAAACCCGGTGAGGCTGTCGCTGCTTTAAACCAAGACTTGGTAAGTTTGAACTTTTAGTTCTCTTTCAAGGTTGCCAAAACAAACTTTCATAATATTATAGACTACGATGAAGTGCGGATTACTCCTCGATGTTACAAATTTTATCTAAGTGGCAAAATAATAATTCGTTATCTAGAAGCACCGCATATACGCGGTATGTGATTAATAGAGGCGGGAGTTGTCTTTACCAGACCTGGGCAAGTTTGGTTCCCGTTCTATCTGTCTGAGATGTAACACGTGGGTGGGGTTCATGATCTGACCCAAGATCACTTCTATTGGGGATTCCCCCAACGTTCTGTGACAAAAATAATCCGTACGTGGGCGTGGTAAACCACCGGACTACGGAAGCGGCAAAAAAAAATTCAGATTGTACAAATAGGTTCAACTAGAGGTAAAAACTCATACTGCGGTGAATGACCGTATTTGTCGGCTTTATCATGTCACAATGAATTCAGTCTTATATGTTAGATTTGTGACTCCATTTCGTGGGGGTAAAAATGTAAATCTCATTTTAAAACTTGTCACTCCTTCGCTGTTGGTTTCTTTTTAGCATCAAAGATTTGAAAAGGATAAATCGTCTGAAGTCGGGCGTATGTGCTGCATCCTGACAATGTTCGAAACGTTCTAAACCACTGTGAATGAAACAGATCCTTTACATTGGAAACATGTATCAGGCTTTCACTAATACGTGAGCCGTTTAGAGGGTCTGACAAAAAGAGAACTGTGAAATCGAATTTCCGTATCATTTTTAGTTGTCTTTAACAATACTGACCAGAATGCTTTGTGCATCAAACACTCAGCGCAGAACTTTGATGATTTTTTAATTTTACCTCCATGTGTGTTTTTATTTATGGAAATTACACGCAACTTTCTTAGATACGAAAAATTACACAAATGCGTCAAACGCAGCTCTTAAATTTGATCCAATAATCCAGTGAAGTTTGATACATTTCCCAACGCCATGCATTCTGAAAATGGGCCCCCATGAGCGCATTATCTCGTAGCATGGTGTAAACAGCCCAGCAAATTGGATGATATGAAGTTTCAAGCTGCGATTCCAGTCATTCGGCAGAATGTGAGAAATTGCGGGAATTCAGGTTTGTTCTGCATAGTGTCCTATGCCTTCCGATGAGTTGATTTGGTTTCCCATTACCAACGCAGGAATGGACGCAATGGAGATTAGTTTCTTGTAGACTGTTAAGGGATGCCCCGCTTGTATCTAGCTGGACCCGGCGGGATACACTGACCACCCGTCAGCGTCCAGACGACGCTGACCTGTGGAAACACTTGATCGCATCAATGCTATAAATCACTTGAAATTCAGATAAATTTAATAGGTCAAAATGACGAGTCCAATTATTTCATTTTCCTGATAATACTTAATTTCAACATCATACTTCATCATGACACCACGACAATCTAATCGTATTCTGATCTTTTTTTCTGGTTATATTTCAAAACTGCCGTCGAGCAATGAAACCATGCAAACAATTGGAAATATTTGCAACGGCGTGCATGATGTTATGCACTGTCTGGCTAAGCAAAGTCTTTTTTGTGGAAATTTTCTCCTCATATTTCTGGTAATTCATAATATTTACCAATAAATCAAGCTATTTGAACAATGCTACGGGGGAGTCCCATGCACAAGCAACAGTCCTTTCCAACCTCATCCCAAAATTCGTTATCCCGCGGTAGGCAGTACGCTGGGATAAATTCGATTCTGGGCGGGAAATTTCACGAGAAGCAAGAGGTGTCCATTCCAACGCAGCAGTGTCGCAAGCCGGGGTAAGCGATGTGGACGCGCAGAATGGTACTCAATACAGAAGGTAGATGAAGGGGCTAGGTTGCTCCACGGGAGGGAATTCCGTCAACTTACCAATTTTCATTTTCCAACTCCTTCTGTTGTGGGTGCTGGACGTCGTTCCCAGGTGCATCGGAATACAGACAGGAGCCGGGTTCAGATAAAGTTCGACCAGAATGTGTTGAAGGGAACCATGTTCATTTCGAAAGTTCACTTCAACCAAAGTGCATATTGAGAACGGTGTTGACGTTTTATGCTTGTACCGTCACTCACGTTATATTTGGCTAGCTACTACGTTTCCTCTCATGCAGCCTCTATCTAGCTCCATACAACCTGTTGGCATTATACAGCTCATTTTCTAACAAAGCTCTTTTCAAAGAGCTTACAGTACACGTACATATCGCGAGTGAAATACCAGTTTGGATTCAAGAGTCTTCGATAGGGGTGGCTATAATCAGCGCATAGATACAGACAAGCCTTATTGAACATTACTTCATTATTGCGCGAGATTTTCTTTAATAGCCAATAATGATAATGTGGCAACAACCCCCAATCCCCACAAAAATCTGCAGATTTGGAAGGAATGTTTTCCAACTCCTCACAGGCTCCTCAATCGAAGTTGCCTTCCTCACAAGATGAAGAACACAGCACAGCTCAGAAGAGCATTCAAGCGGATGAGACCGTCTTGGGATCTTCCAAGACGTTTCCACGGGACCATGCCGGGAGCAGACATGTTGCAGGGAGGGCCGCAAAGGGCAGACCGCGCTGCGGCGTACCGGATCCCGTTAAGGTACAGGACGATGGCCCCTCGCTGAATGAGAACAGAAGGCAAAAGCGTTACTCTGTTGATTGGACAAAATGGAACAAGAACCATCTGACCTACAGGTTGGTGTCCTTGCTGTGCCTTCGTGTCACGTTGATCAGTTCAGCTCGAATCTAATGAAATGAAAGAATTGATGGCATGATGGACCAAGGGATTGTCTCGTTCAATTTAATTTATTTTTGCGGAATAATAAAGAGAATTAAAAATGGAAAAAAAATAATTGAAATGGCACAAACATAAATACAAAATCACAACCACCCTTTTATTCTAAAAGGTTAAGAAAGATCAACACTTTTTACCAAAATCTTTCCAGTAGCCTTTCGAAACACTGTCGCTGTGTTTGCAAGATTAAACCATGGATAAAAGAAAACAGACAATTTCCTTCCTGCATGATTAAACATAGCGAGATACGATAATATGCGGACAAAAAGGAAGATCATACTATGCGATGTGGTGTGAAACGAACAGATTCCAACCTATTCCTGCAGAATTTTGAACTATCCATACCATTACCGGATGACTGAGGACCAGGTGGATGACTCAATCGATCGAGCCTTCAAACAATGGGGTGACGCCACGCCCCTCACCTTCCGTCGGATCACCTACGGCCATGCCGATATCCATATCAAATTCGCCACGTGGCATCACGACTGTCCCTACGAGTTCGACGGCATCAACGGTACCATCGCACACGCCTTCGTCCCGAACGGTCTCCACGGAGATTTAGACGGCGACGTGCATTTCGATGACTCAGAGGTCTACACTTATTGGGGCGACGAAGGTAGAGTAAATCTCGAGGCCATTTGGAACTGTTTCCAATGGAAATAAAAATTGAATGTGGCAAAAACAAAAAAACAAAAAAAAAACGACACACGATCTCAGTTGGCTGTGGCTCGAAAGTATAATCAATTGAACGAGAGTATTAACGATATGTCGAATTGAGATTTTTTAGTGACAATTTAATTAACTTGTCTTCTGCTTATTTAACATGAATTCGAAAAACTGTAAGGAAAGGATCATTCTTAATTTCACAGTTTCCACTGATACTGACACCACACACCGCATTTTTCTACTTTTCTTTTCTCTTGCTCAGGTTACAACTTGTTCCAGGTTGCTCTGCATGAGCTGGGACACAGCTTAGGGCTACAGCATTCGTGGACAGAGGGCGCTGTCATGGCGCCGGAGTACAGTGGTTACATACCCGACCTCGCACTGCAGGAAGATGACATACGCGCAGCGCAGTTACTCTACGGTAACAACTTTGTCGTTTGTAGTCACTAAGTTGCCGCAAGGAAGAACTTGTTCGCAAAGAAGGTTTTCAACTGTATCAAGTATTTTCGAAAAGGTGGGATTTTTTTTCCTAATTAACCTCTGTTACTCCGAATTATTATTTAGGCACTTTGGAACCAACCAATTTTGGCGACCCGGATTCTCCCTGTAACAAGGCTTACGACGCTGCAGCTATGATTGATGGTGTGCTGTACGTGTTTAAGGTTAGAGTTTATGTAATTTTTCAGTAAGACCAAAACGCACAGCACAGACGCTTTAACAGCTTAAAAACGATGTCATAGTGTCCCAAACTGAAAAAAAACCTGATCCGTTCAAGGAATGCAGGCTTGTCTCAACTATACCTTGATCTCTTCATAAACCACAACAAATTAGACCCTGGAAGTGAAAAGGTATTCAGCTCTCCCAAACTGTAAAAATGATTTGCTTAAGTTGTTTCTCGAAACGGCATATGAAAACAAAACTCGGATGGGGGAATGGAACGTCATATACGGAATTTAAACTGCTCGTCGAGGAGAAAAATAAAGGAAGGTGATAAGTTTCCAATATCGAGCACTGTCGTTATCAAACCTTTCCCCTCGCTTTGCATGGTAGCCATCTTGAAGGGCACTTCATTTGTTCCACAGGGAAACCTTTGTGCATACCCTTTTGAACAAGAGAACTGTCCTGTAAGATGGCTTCCACGCAAAGCCTTCAAAGTGTAATTATTCTATCTGATGTAAGATTCACACAAATTTTAGTATACAAACACAACTGATTTTACCCAAAGTCATAGGCCTACTTGATATGGGCATAGCTGGACTCAATCTTTGTGTACTGAGTTTGCGCACTGTCATACACGGCTATTTTGTTCAGTCCAAATTTTTGCACCTATGCACAGACAAAAAAAATTGTCAGGGATTTCCTCCTGAATCAGTTAAAAACCAGACTTCCTGTTCCAAATGCCCCTTTAAGGACCGCCGATTCTGGCGAATCAGTCGCCCTGGGAAGGTGATGACGCCCTCTGCCGGTCTTCCCATGCGAAAAAGGTTCTTCAAGCTTCCCCGGATGATAGACGCGGTGTATCAGAGACCACAGGACGGCCTTATTGTCTTTTTTAAAGGTGCAGTAGGCCTTCTCTTTGAACAGCGATTGGCTCTGCTGCCAACATGGCATTTATGCAGTATCTCCTCTTTTTTGCGTCGACTTGTAAACAAACTGAGCTCCCACAGCAACTTGATTTTGAGCCAGCATTACAGAAGACAAGTGCATGGTACAAAGTTGTAAATATCCGTCACAGTAAATGTTGCCATAACATTACAACAGTTACTGTGACGTATATTATACGCCATGTTGTGTGAACGTGCATCAGCAAATAGAACCTGCTGCACTGTCCGTACCTCTTTTATAAAGTGCAGATTGACAAATGGCTCGTCAACACTTCCTGATTTTGATTAATAATCGAAAGGAGGGTCTTAGCGAAAGGTTTTTATAGGCTACCGGTACATCAAACTTTCCTTTGGCCAGGAGTTAATCGTGCACAGTTGAAAACAGTCCTAAAAAAGTACAACTGCAAAGAGAAGGTTTCAATCCTGGATGTAAGCAAAGAACATGAAATGTTTCAAGGAGACGTGTTTTAAATATTGATCGATGTGTGCAAATTTCTAAACCAAAAATGAATGCCTTAATCGGTATAGGCAAGTTCCGTTTTAAAGTATCTCTTCACGCTTCAAATTCTTCTTTCGCTTTCGCATTGTTTCTATTAAAAACAGGGCCAAATTATTGGTTATACAGAGGCAGGCGCCCTTTACCGGGCTATCCACGGCCAATCAGCGAGCTTGGCCTACCTGATGACATCGATGCAGTTGTCATGTTGCAGCGATACAACACGACGTATTTCTTCAAAGATCATCAGGTAACTTGCGTTCGATGAATGACATGGAAAGTTGGATTTTCTATCATTATTATACGAAGTCCCATTGGTGTCGCTTTCCCTTTGTGGTGTGTGTTTCGACAGAAAGTTTATGTCTTTCAGGAACTTGCCAAAGCAAGAAAATAATTGTCAAATGGTTTGATGATCACAACAGCACTTGCCGTCAGAACACGGTGAGTTAAGGATTTTTTTCGCCGTTTGTACTACATGTATATCTAATCCTGGTTTTACGGGTTCGATGGCACTTGCGTGCACAGTAGTGTAACCAGGTGTAAACATTCGGGGGCATCCAATGCTGCACAAACAGTTTTGATGGGGCACGAATTGGTCGTCTGGGAAAACATAGATCCTCAAATCACCGTGCGAGATGTCTTGACTGTGGCAAGTACCCTTGTGGTCACCAGTATGTTTTGACAAAGATCATTATCCACTTGCCGCCGGGGACTCCTGCTCCGGACACGTATTCTTCATACGCGTGGCTGGGGTCTCCGAAATCGGACAAAGGGAACTGGGCCTTGTAACAAAAGACTGTACTGTCGTAACAAAAGACCAGGCTGCTGGGAATAACCGACATTTTTTTCACTCTCTACAGTGGAGATAATCCAGCCTTGTTTTAAAACAATATACCACGGTTTGGGGCATTCAGCGGGAACGGGTTACCACCGGGGACAAAATCGCTCCTCCACCGCAGGGATGAGCCACGCAATACCGCTGCACATCATCTGGCCCCTATTGAAAAGAGGTCAGCAGCGCAATGTGCCAGTTTCGTGAACGAAACTTACTTAACATCGCAAAATCTGGGCTTTTTTACAAGGCAGCAGGCCTTGCTGAAATACTCCGGAGTTCATACATGCTCTCAGAGAGAGTAGAGTAGTCCCAGACAGCCGTTCGTGTGGGTGTAAGTGTCCAGAAAATAAAGATATGGATTTTTACAGAATTTTGAAAACAGAAAAAAATGACAATTACCCTGTCCCAGCGTCATCAACATTCATTTATGCCCCCAGCGCGATGTTTAACCATTTACCCGAATTTTTATCTTGGTTTGACAAGTTATTATCTTGCTTCGGCAACTTAATCACTGAAAGACATATGCCTCCTTGCGAAGCACACATCAAAAAGGGAAAGTGACACCAATTGGGCTTCATATTATTAATACCAGAAATCAGGTTAGCTGTGGAGTATCGATGACAGAAAGCCTATCCAAGCTAACCGCGAAAACAAATGAACCAAATCGGTAATGTCTTGTCATGATCCAAAGTTAATTTCCGATGCATGAAAAAGCATCTGGCATCATGCCAGCTCACGCCGAACATATTCAGTCTCCTGAAGACGGACAGAGTACACTGTTCAAAACGTCGAGTTTAATATTCGTCGGTTCTTCTCAGAACCACACATACTCAAGACAGAGATTGATACATGGTGTCACCGCAATCACTTCACTCTTCTAGTTTCTTTCACCATGAAAACCTTCAAGTCTTAACATTCAGTGCGTGTGAGTTGGTGTACGCTAGTACCGAATCATTCGAGACGCTCTTCATTTGTATCATGCTTAGCTGGAAAACAGAAAGGGCCTATTTGCATTATGCTTACGCTTTGAACACTTTACACAAACTTGTACTGAACAAAAGTGTAGTTTGCATTTACATCCTAAAGTAAGAAGACCCTTAATTTTCCAATATAGATACCCCAGGGTAATATCTACTAATTTAGAAAACCCCTCGCAGAAACTGCAGAAATTGAAGAGATTGGTTGGGGGGGGCAAATTCCAAAGTAAATGCACTTTGGGCTCACTGCATATAACGGGGGAGAAAAGTATAGCCTATTTATTTATTAGTTTCTTTCCTATCTCACCTATGAAGTAATGTCAGTTGCAAAAAAGAAAATTTAATCGAGGGGTGGGGGGCAAATTGCCCACCGCCACCCCCCCGATACATCACTTTGCACACCCCCTAAATGTGTACCTACAGTATAAAGCACATTGGGTATTAACTCTAAATTCGCATCCTCGTGGTCAGTTTGATTGATTTAATCCTCAACAGTTCGCTGGTATCACTTCTTGCCAAGGTATGGAGATTTGATGAAGAATACCAATCGGTAGAATACGGGTATCCTTACCATGTGCTGGACGTCTGGGAGGGTATACCTCCCTTCATTGACGCGGCCTTCGATTATACAGATGGTGAGTTAATGCTTGTGTATTACACTTCATAAGGAAATTAATTATTATTCCTTTTTTCTGTGGTCTTACCATTTTTTTCATTACAAATTCTTATTATTACCTGTTCAAAGGGAAAGAATATACTTCGGCGCCTTTACAATTTCTGACGCTATTAGGCAATTTTGGGCTAACATAATTTCTATATAGAAAGTAGACATTATACATAAGTAAACACAATGGTATAAAATATGAACGTTGCTATTGTCACGAAAATGCATTGATCTCAGCGCTTTTAAAGAATTAACTAGAATCTGAACAATTGAAGAGAAATACGTTAGCCAACTTCTTTTTCGTCAACCAGCCTGTTCGTACTGCGCTGTACTGTGCTATGCTATACATATCATTCTCTGAAGTTACCATTCAATAAAAATCAGGGTGATGATGGCTTTTGTGCATTTAATTTTTCCATTTTCTTTCTAGGATTCACATATTTCATCCAAGGCAAGTCCTACTACAGATATAGCAATGTTTATCGCAACGCAGACCCTGGTTTCCCTCGCTATTTCGGGAATGACTTCATGGGCTGTTAGGATTGTCTGAGGGGTGTACAAACCGTTTGATCCAAGCCAGTTAGATTGTCTAGCTATAAGCTACGTCACTGATGTAAAGGGTCTGCGCAAGTCATATCACGTCCTAAGGTCTTCCATCCCAAAGGAAAAGGACTACAAGTCAGAAAACCAAGATTTCCGCTCAAGCGAAGTTTTAGGTTTTCTAAATTATTTATTTCATTTTATTGTAGCATGATCTGTTCGATCTTAAAAAGGGAAATATGAAGGAATGTAAGTCTTCATCATACGGGATCGGGCCATATGCCCCACCCAAAATATTTTGAAGTGAGATTTTTTTTCTTTTCTTACCATAGATAATCTAAGTTCATTTTCTTAAGTGTTTTGTTGATAATTACAAGGGAGTTTGTCACATGAGATCTTAGTTATCAATTGGAATTTTTTTATAAGAAGATAAACGCCAAAAGGGATGATACCCAAATTATACGAATGCACAGTATGCCACAGTATGTTACTGTGCATGTGGCTCTGATACCACAACGGGTAGAATACAATAATTACAGAACATTTTGCCAGCAATTGAATGTGTTTTAAACGTTTGTCAGGACCAATCTCGAAGCATTATGGAGGCCTATACCAATTTTGAAAAGAATCTTTCAAACAGACGTAGGAGCAATAAAAGCCTTTGCCACTGAGTATAGCCTACTTAAACCAGTTTTTGTCCTATTTATCATCCTGGCGATTGGCTGGATAAAGGCCTGCGAACTCTGTACCCTTTGAAAACACGGGCTCATTGACCGCGATGTGCACGACTGCTTGCATGAAGCAACACGCCGTGTAAAACTGGAAATCCATACGATGGAAAGACGTCGGGGTCAATATCTCATGACACACGAGAGTACACGTCAAGTTCATAATAAAGCTAATCTCACACGAAGGTGAGACGAGTTGATTGGCAACAACCTGTTCTGTTCTTAGCATCAACAACCAGAAATGACCAGGACACGTAACTAATCTCTGTGGGGGATAGAGATGAAACGCCGTCCGGACGAATGAATTACTCTGTGGCCTCAGAATATTGGCCGACGGAAAAGGGGAGACCAACAGGAATGTCCCCTGTTGCAACCGGATCTAAGCTTCATCCCATGTAGCAGAATTTGTCTGCAAACTGAAACTCAAGTTTAGAGGACCCAACTTTGCATCCGATCTGCCTCGAGCTGAAGCACCCCCCCATCGGTAGAAAAGAGCCGCGTTGGTCGGGAATGTTCTATTTGTTGGTAACGATACGACCGTGACGCATGCATTTCCTACAGGCGTTTGCTGAGAAAATAGCACCCTTTCTTAAACTTAATATTTGGACCAGCTTGAGGCCTCGAGACAAATGTTTTCTTACACATCTTAACCATGAAACAGCCGTGGGGACGATGGGGACTCATACCCACGCCATTTTTTCTGATATTACCCCAGCGCATGGTTTTCTCGAGCTGAGCTTTTAATAGTTATTTTCTGGAAACTGTGCGCAGTCATTTTGACACACTTTTTGTGAAATGCTAACATTCCTTTCTCGTGCAGCGCTCTTTTTCTCATACAAGATCAGCGTCAACTTCAAATAAACTTAAAAACAAAACCATATATGAAAGATTGAGTTGAAACGTGATGATTGTATTAATAATTTGATACTAAGTTTACAGCCGAATTCTGGAAGGGGACGGATTTTTGCCCCCCCCCCCACCCACTTACAACTTTGAGATAATCCCAAATAATCCAGATTTTTCAGAGTTAAGGCAAGGACTGACGCTGCAAAAGTAATTTAAAATGAATGCTTTTAGAATAAGTATTAGTCTATAAACGTATTTACTAAGATTCTTCGTAAAGCCTGGGCACAAACAAGAACCTTCTGTTAGCAATGACAGTGTTTTTCAAACAAGACCTAAGACAAAGGTAATCGTGGTGTGCACTGATGACATTAGTCGGACAGTCCTGACGCGAAATGAAGCCTCAACATCTGTCCCTGTCATAACCTTATCTCATTGTGTGACTGATCTGAAAATTTAGAACAAAGTATGAGGTCATTATCTCCAACAATCTGATATTGCTATAAAAAGCTAGTGGCACTTTGAGATCAGGGCCACTAATCTTACTGGGCACAACCGCAAATTTCTCCAGCTGCGACGCGTGCATATCTAGACATAATTCAAAATGTTAAACCTGAAGGTATTGGTGGCCATGGTGGTGATTTCCCAGTACATAGCCAGCGTGCATCCATACTGCTACATAAGGCCAGATGGTAAGTTAGCTCACTATAAGTAATGTGTCAAAATCACAAGTTATCTTTGTGAGCGCAAATAAGTTGCTGATCTCTTTAACATATTTTTTAAAGTAGGGTACTCCCCATGGAATTGGTATACTGTAGGTCTACTGTTTGAAAAGGAAGGGGAAAGGTTTGGGCTGTAACTATCTCATAAATTTTTAATTGAAAGACCAATGTATTCGTTCAGAGACCTTCCCCGAGATTTATGATCGTATACCATACCCAATTGCCGTAGACGACAAGTACAGTTAGTGGCGTGAAGGCGCAGAGGATGTTCAGGATTCACGTAAGAACTATGCTTTAAAAGGCAACCATGGCTTTAAGGTGGTAACTCAATGAAAAAAAGTCTGGAATGAGCACTACGAATAGACCATCGTCGGCAAAACTGACCATTAATTTTGTTTCAACCGAGATTTATTGTGTTTTTTTTTTTAAATTGAAAACGAAAATCCTTTTCTCCCCTTCAAAGCTAACTGCAAACCAGGCTTGAGCGAGGTTATTGACTGTGCTGACTGTAGTTGCAGCGACGATGGAACGACTCTTTACTGTTGCTTCAAGTAAGCCTGTCTTCGTGAACTTCCTCTCCTAGTCCATTAAATCAAAGATGGGGGGATCCTTGATAAACAGTTAGAGGCCTACCCCCAATGTTTTTTGTCTAACATTGCTTTAATGGTGTGCATGGCTTTTCCGCCAGAAAAATAACAGAATTACTGAATGGCTATACGGTTTAAAAGAATCATCAGTGTCATGCTCTATGAAGCCGACAGCCGACACCAAGCAAAACAGCCTGTTTGAGACACTCCGTTGCTGCGCAAGCGTGTCTTGTACAGGGCATGCACCGGTACATCTAAGCGTGCAGAATGTGCCAATTGTGTCCAACAGTGACGTTCTTGCCACTTAAACCACGCCCACTTACAGGACGATGGTCTGTGCAGACGTTACTTCTATTCAAACAGCGTCTAGTGCATAGAAAGTAGCATGGAATCCACTTGAACCGGAAGTTACCAAAGCTAGGGTGCTCATCAAAAGACAGATAGTAATCAGAGGTGCGTGCGCTTGCCATGACGAAGTTACTAACCGGATGGGCAATGGATGAAATGCAAGTTTAGCAAATTATCCAGTGAGCGGTAGTGTATAGCGTGCACGTGTGTAACGCAACCGATACCGGTAACGAACTAAGCAGAGGGACGAAACTGATTAATTTTTTTTACAACCCAGATACATGACCATTGTGGACCAACAAATCTACTGTATCCAAGAAACCACACAGTTTTCTTTCAGTTAGTTTGACCATCGATATTATTTTTCAGTATCGGAAGACCAACTCGCATGACACCAGGATGCAAGGCTGAATTCAACGCTGAAACGTGTCAGTTTGATATCTCCAACCAAGACTCACCTGGTACCGAGTGCCGTGTCTACGCAATGACAGGTCGTTAGGAGTCCGTGACGTCGACTTATAGCAAAAGCTAGTAGTTTATTACGACAATCCTGACAGTCTTAAATATTATTATTGGTTTATTTATTCCCACAAACATTTGAAAAACGGTCAAAAGACTGACAGCATTCAAATTTACAATTACATGTACAACTAATAAAGTAAATTCGAAAAAAAAATATGTTACAATTCTGGACAAAGACGGAATTGCACAACGTTTATACGGCTCAGTATTGCACGTTTGTGTATGAAGACCAGGCTGAGTGCTGTTCCTTAAGTGTCTTCCACTGACATCTTTTTCTTCTGGTGGAAGTTACAAAACCTACTAGACGTAAGTAATTGTTTTCCAAACTTCAAGAATAAATCTGAGCTCCTCTGCTCCAAAGTTTGGATATTCAATCTATAATTGATGGCATAAAGGTATGTATCATAATCACTATCAAGAATTATTCTGCAACACGTTTTTGAACGCGTGCAATTAATCCAATCTGATCCTTTGAAATCGAAGAATGCTATATTGGACAGGCATATTCTAAAATGGGTCTAATGTAAGAAAGTAATTGCAACCTTGTGAGAAATAGTTATCTTTGTCCTTTTCAAGATAGACAACATAAAAAGTCTACGAGAGGCTTTGGAATCTCAAATATACGTAAATTCCACTTTAAATTGTTTGGAATAATAACTCTCAATAGTTTCACGTGAGAAACAGTGGTCAAAGTATTTCCATTCATAGACAGTTCTGGTGGTATATACCACATTTCGTTTATTAGAAGGAACGAAATATACATACTTTTACATTTAGAAGGTGTAGGAAACATATTGTTTTCCAAATACCACTCTGAAAAGCTATGTAAATGCGATTGTAACTGTGGTTGGTCCCCGTTTTAATAATTCCATCAATAGTAAGATCGTCTGCATATTTCCATGTCCCGCAGCCGTCAACCCTAAGATCATTGAATAGAATCAGAAATAAAATCGGACCTAATTTTGTCCCCTGTGGCACCCCACATGTCACTTCACAAAGAGAAGACAAGTGGCCGAATGATTTAATATTTTGATGGCGTTTTATGAGAAAGCTGCAGATAATGGGAACAATTCACGGTCTAACTCCAAGATCAAGAAGTTTGCGAATAACTATTGTGTGATTTACCCAATCAAACGCCTTAGTGAAATGTATAGCACAAATTTGAGCATAATTGGCAAGTTATCAGTTCCCCCGGCAATGAAATTCAAAAGATCAAGCAAATAATGTGAAGTAGTGTAACCTTTCACATTGCCACGTTGATTAGAATCAAAATTAAAAGCAATGTCTTGCAATATCCTCTTGGATATAAATGTTTCAAAGACACGTGCAAAGATTGAAGTTAACTCTATTGGACGCAGTTGATCAAAAGAGGAAATTCTCTTTTCTTTTGAACTGGCACGACCGAAGCAGTTATCCATACCTCAGGAAAACTGCCATCAACAATACAATTGTTAACCATATGCGTTAATATAGGTTAAAATGTTCCAAGAAATACATCTCAGCGGATTTAAACTAAGCCTACGTAGGAATGTATCAAAATTATAATCATTACAATGGTATAAAGAAATTTAAAAAAAATCTAGACTCCATAGCGACAGCTTTGGTAGAATAGTTATTCCCTCCCCTGTATCCCCAGTCTGAAATCATTCTTGTACTGATTCCATAGGTTTCCGTAAGACGTAAAATATCCTTCTGAAGGTTCTGTTCCTTAAGCTCGAATATGCTTTTCGGCTTCCTGAGCTGATACACATTAAAGCACATTCTTTATAACGACAAGGAGATAAATTGAAATTAAAAAAAAATGTGCGTGAGGAGCACACGGCAGGCTTGTTGTCTCTAATCATTTACGAGATGATAATTTATATACAGTTTTTAATACAATTATTTGAACAAAAATATCACCCATAGCCTCGACGACCTTTTTGTGGGATGGTAAAATTGGTCCAGCATCCTAATGTTTTACATATTGTTGGAAATGATAGATTTCAAAGCACCCTTTTTCACCCACGTGACTAAATGTAAACAATGAAACCACGTGTGGACCGCCTTGGCCGTGGTGATCGCATGTACATGTATACGTATGGGCAGCTTCAACCACGTGCAAGTGCAAGTGCAAACGCTGCATGTTTGACTAGTTTATCTTGAATAGGTAGATTACCATCACAACACTATGCACTCATGACCATCACCATACATGAAAGGTCCAGCGCAATCGTGACATCACAGGGAAAAGGTTTATATATATATTGAAGTAGGGCAGTGGTGGTGACAGGTAAGAGACAGATTGTAAAGCTATACATCCCTAAGTGTGGGGCTAGGGGAACTGTATAACGTTAAACAAATCTCTCAATGGCTCGAAGAAGCCACAAACGCTGAGATTATACTATCTTGGGAAACTCAGATCTATGGCTCACGGCATGCAACGAACCTTGGAGCTGGGTTTTCCAAGCTAGGCCTAGGCTTTAGTTTAGACGACGGAATAGGCCTACACTTGCATACTCTTTTTCTAACCTCCTTACTAGGTTCTGGGTCTAGTGTTACGGCCTAATTTCCTTCAAGTTATTTTATTAATAAAGCAGTCCATTACCGACAGCATTTGAGGGTTTTCTAGACGGGGGATATCAAACGAGACACAAGTGTATTTGTATTTCAAACTTACAAAACAACACGTGGAGACATTGCAGAATTGAGCCTGGAGACCATGATCTCTCCTGGACAGCGCCATGTTGCCAATGTCGTTTTCCCTTTATTGTCCACGTCGAGGTCAACCTGTAACTTTGCCTTGGGCCAAGACGGCAGAACTCGATAGTGGACTCGATCGAGTATAAAATATGCCGCACGCTGATTTCCATTGCGCCCTCTCGTGACGTCATTTCACCAATCGACGGCTCGTTCTACCGTCTATGGAATCTCCGAGAAACTGTTTAACTTTTTTTTACTTTTCCTCCGGATTTCTGGAGGAACCAATCAGCGCCTGGGAGATTCCAGATAAACCTGTATGTGATGAAGATGGATCAATTACCTGCATCACCTGACCTATTACTTGACATATACAAGCGGTACTACGGGACGCTAAACGTGCTACTGAAGGACCAGTACTGTCAAAGTTGATAATGGGCGCGGTCGATACATTGAAACAAGAAGCGAAGAGGTGAGCCTGTAAAAAACTTCAGACAACAAAACTAAAGAAATAACAAGCTGACGCTATTGATGCGAATCCGCTCCAAAGCTCTCACGGTCTGTATCCTATTTCGCATCCTAGGGTCAATTGTGAATATTTATATTAAACTACTGTTTTGCATGCAAAGGCCACGCCTCAGTTGTAGGTGGTTCCCAAGACTGTAGAACGGGCCGTCGATTGGTAAAATGGAGTCACGAGAGGGCACAAAAGAAATCGGCGCGCGCGGCATATGCTCGATCGAGTCTGCGATCGAGTGCTGCCGTCTTGGCCCAAGACTAAATAATAAAAGTTCAAAGAAATGTTTCAACCGATTATTTAACATTTCGACTTTTGTGTTATGTGAGAATATCAGAGATTTTCTGCAGGCAAAATGTGTGAAATTTGAAATTTAAAAAGTACCCAGCTTCCAACGCAATTTTCTAAAAATTGTGCTTTCAGTTAGTTAATGTGCGCGGATTCGCCACTTCGTGAAAACGCTGACGACTTGTCAAAAGCCATTTGCGTACTTTCATGTACGGAATATAAAATTATACATGAGCGGGGGCAATTTTTTTCTCGTAGGTGGGTCAGTCAAAACATGAATTATTCATGAGGCCTACTGCTCATCTGAACTCGAATACTCGAGCGATCCAGCATACACCACCGATGCACGGTGGGTTTGTCTAGACCTCCTTGTGTGGACACTGATTTCTTCACACACCAACACTCTGTGGACAAAAAAACGTTACAGGGACTTTTTTCTGTCCCCATAACATTATATTCCAAATGGTCCACAGGAGCTGTGGGAAAAAAAAAAGTCTGAAAAGAAAATTGTCCCGGTAGCACCGAAGTAACTGGTTTGACGTAACATTCGTGTATTGAAGAGCGCCACCACGCGTTTATAATTTTTTTAAGAGTGTGAATATATATAATGAGTTTACACGAACTAGAAAACGGACGTCATCGTACTGAAAAGGAACCCTCGAAATACGTGCGCTAGGTGTATGGTCTGAACAGGCTACCAGTAAAACCAGGACGGGTTTTGTGCGCCATAAGCCAAGCCCAAAGCTTAACTTAAAACAACATGACTTGTTCGTTTTGTACGTGTACCGTACCGGGTACGTCGGCGAGTCGATTGAATCCGCATACGTTAATTTGGTAAGTAAGTCCTAATATTTTAATGTGTGTACACGTACATTTGTACGTGTGTGCACCGTGCACTTGAATAGACACACGTTATGTTCATCACTTTATTACTGTGAGTAATCTCGATTCACCAGGTTAGACTTGTCACATCATACATCTTGAACGTGAAAATGCCTGGATAAGATAATTCTCACGATTCTAAGTTGCACACTGCAATGGTAGGATTTCTCTGCTAATTTGCTGTACCAGCCCAAAGACACTTAGATGGCCGGGCTTACACAAACATAGTTCTAAATGCGTTGCAAGATGAACAATATAATAAACGATACCTTGAAGTACGTCCAATCACGAAGGGAATTTGTCCGTGTGGCACAACGTATGCCGGTAACGTAACTTCATGAACAAGACGAACTTTCAGATAAACAGGATTATCATAAGTAACGTACAAAACCAGAATGGCTCCTCTACACAGTTATCCAAATCTCTCAAATCTGCAATCATGTCAAATCACTTCAATTATGTCTTAAGTAACTTCAAAATATCAAAGAATATCGGATCTTGCTTCCAAATTCGAACTTCAAAATGGCTGCTTCCGCGTGACTGATAAGATTTGCCGCGAATCGTCACCAATAAGAGCGCCCTCAATCGGTAACATCCTTAATAGATGGTCTGTCATTACAAAATTAACAGCGACATTGGCAGCAAGTACAGAAGAAAAACATCATACTTGATTATTTAAAAGCCTGGCTATGACTGTTTCTGGGTGACTGTTTTACTTCTGACCCCATAGGGCGCAATGCATGCATTATTCTCCCGCCCCCCAAAGTTGCGTCTGACAAACTATCAAAGGAAATGTGATCTAAACAAAGGCAAATATTTTTTTTAAATATATTTGTCACGTTTGGCACATTAACGATCCATAAACGTTCGGTTTGTGGTTTGTGATTATTATCGTCTGATACATTTTCTGCCAATTGGTCATACTTCATCATATAGAAATTTTTTTCTTGCACTATCCGTCAAAAGGTGATACATTATCGTTTATAAACTCCATCCATCAATAATGTCGGCCATTTTTAATGGATTACTGGTTGGAGACACTATAAAAAAAAGTTAAGATGCGTTATGATTAGAAAAAGCCAATACTGATGGCAATGCAAGCGTTTCATAAGAGTGTGCTCCCAAGAGGTTGCGACGCGTTGACCAGTCTCAGTGCGTGAAATCTGTCGACCCAATGCGCGTTTGGAAAGGGTCGACAGATTTCGCTCGCTGTGATTGACCAACGCAATGTAGACTATTAGAGGCACACTATTGTGAATTGCCCGTATTCTCTGCACTAAGACTAAATCAGATGTTTAGTATTCACGCTGAAAACACTGATTCAGTTCTTTTTGATAGGAACAACAGCAGAAGTAATGATTAATAATTCGTCTACCCTACCACGATCTGACCTATCTGAAGTACTGACGAATTTGAGTTTTTAGCATATTCTTGTTATGCATGATGAATCTTAGTTTTCTGAAAATTTCAAACTTATAGGTGCTCTGAAAAGCTAATTAAATTAATTTGGGTAAATATTTTGACCTACCTCTCCGAAATTCAACATTATATCATAGACTAACGCATTGCGATGGGTCACTTCGGGAAACGTATAGAAAACGCAGTTTTATTTCCATGAAGTGACGTACACACTCTGGTATATCTGGACCTATCCATGACATTTGAAGTTCAGTCATTCGGAACCAGTCTTTAGCCCTGTTTTGTGTCATTCAGTGGCTGAACGTTGGACCTTAATTTCAACGGAGTTTCTGTTTATGTAAATGGCTGAGCACAAGATTCCTTCTTGTTTTTGCTGATATTCGAATAAAATCGTGATGGACATCTGTACGTTGACGCAAAACCCCGAGAGAGGCATGCTTGTGTAGTCAGTTGCAGCGACAATGCCGTGGCAGTCTCGTTTTTTGGAGTCTGCTACCCGGTCATGCCAGCCTACGTCAGCGAGGGGTCTAGCCTTAGAAGTCCAGTGACGCCGAGTCGTTTTGGTGGCAGTTTACCGCCTGGCCCGCAGCATAACATCAGCGTCGACGAATGGGGACAGTATAAGTAACAAGGGGACAGATACAGTTGATACAGGACCACACTTCTTTATTCACAAGCACGTGTAACCTTCACAAAGGTGTTTTTCCTACGTTCCAACTATTCTCCGCAGCACAGCAACGTTAAGGATCCAGGAGATGAATTTTTCTTAGAATCACTTTTTGTGTATCTCTGTACTCTTCTTCCACGTATGAAGACTGTTTTCTTCTTCTTGAAGACATCTTTTTTGTTTTGAACTGAACGGTGCACTTTTTCAAACATTAAAAATTGACCTAGTATTTATGGACAAGTGAGGGCGCTTTTGCTTTGATGTAAATCAAGGAAGACATGGTTCAGCTTCCATGTTTTCATGTTCAAATTGCGAACCCCACATTTACTATCTGGGAACGTTTCTGTGAAAGGGATTTTTGCTGGATTATTGCCATATACTTACACAACAATAGTTGCCAAAGAAATGAAATTTTGCCATAGCAGTGGTTAAAAAAATTATAATTTTTTTTTTATAAATCAGTGCAACATTGAGATTCAGTGTCTTTCCTGACATCATAGTTCGGCTCATAAATATGCAAATATGTATTAGCTTAAAAACGAATAAAGCATGAAAATATGGGTTAAAAATGCAGAACAAAAATTTAAAATGACGTTAATTGAAACCCAAAGAGGCATCTCAAGGGTTTTTAGTAAAATTTATAAAAAATTTTCTATTTCTATTTCCTGTAAGAAATTACAGTGTGTATGAATTACTGATCTTCTCAAGATTCAAAATAGACAATCATGAACAACTGACTTATTTCCACTATGGCTCTGTGATTAGACATCAGTTAGGTGATTTATGTCTCAATTATTTACATTACTATTCCAAACTCGTACTCGAGTACAGGGCTTGTTGCCCACGCTTAGTTACAAACTATGTTCTCAGGAATACTGGTCTGCTCAGGTCGACCACCTGGCGGGCCGGGAAGAGAGGGCGAGTCACGCCTGCCGCGTTTTTATAGAGACTGCTAGGCTAAACTGGTACCCTCAAATAATCGTACAAATAGACATACCTAACAGCCAGGAACCAACTAAGGTGAAGAATAACGTGGCCAGTTTTGTGGGATTTGATAATTTGGTTACAGGCCGCCTGGTTCAGATCAAAATGGCATTTTATCTGTTTGGTTTATGACATTTTGTACTTTGTGTTTCTCTTTTGTAAATATTGATTTAGTAAACCGGTCCAGACAAAGCTAATAGCTTAAATTGCCATGTTTCTGGTTAATGCTGCAAAGCATGCAAAAACCTAAAGGTAATCTGCTTGATTTAGTTTTCCTAACAGGGTCAGTACCGTGGGCACGAGTTGGGAACAAAGCTGAATCTCGCTCGCGAGCGACGCGTCGCGCGGGCCCGCACTCCTCCATGTTTCACAGTTAATCACGCTGACGCCTCATGTGAAGTCTGACACCTCGTTGGTCCGACGTCGGATTTATGACGCGTCGGACCTTTGAGACATCGGAACTATGGGGCAGAGAAAAAGTGCCCATAAATCCGACGCCTCATTATTCCGACGTCTCTGAAGTCCGAAAATTCGGGCTTTTGAGGCTTTCTACCTATGAGGTGTCGGACTTACGATACGCACCAGATACGTCATGCTGAAAAAAAAGTTTTCCCTTGTAACGCATAATAATCCCAAGTTTCAGATTTCGAAACAATTTGTGTTACATGCTATGACATTCTAAGAGAAGTGAGTTGTGTTCTGATAGTGTAAACCAGTATGGCTGGCTTACACGTAATGGTGTAAACTCTGCCATGACGACGTCTGGCAATAAAAATAGGACATGACTGCACGTACGCTATTACTTTTTACCAACAAGTGCTCATTTTGACACGCATAAATGCATAATGCATCACGGGAAAACACTGCTTCATATGCAACTGTGGTACATGTACACATGAGTGTATTAACTACTATAGTAATTAAGAATAAGTGTACATGTATTTATACAGTAAATCCAAGTAGAACATTGGCCTCCATCAACATGCTGCAGAGTTTGACATTTGTATTTCAAGTACGTGTACATGTACAAGAGCATGCACGTTCATGCGTCTTTGCCAGTTTGGCAAGGAACAACTGACAGTAATAAACTGAACTACAAGTATATCGGTATAGGTATAGGTATCGGAAGGTTCCTTCTGACTTCAGAGTAATTTGATCTGGGAAAAGCTGTCTTTAAGTAGCCATGAAGTCTCTTATACTTGTCTCTGTAAACAGAGTAAATTGTAAACCAATAAGGAATGTTAAATGTTTCCAAATACATAGTGAAAGCAGAAAATTTATGAGGTAAGACTTTCTGCATTTGTTCGGGTGAATCAGCTTTGATCTGTGTACATATCAATGCAGTTTATTTGCTGTTGGGTTACTGCAGAGCTGTGGTTTATTCCCTTGTGAACATCTGCAAACTTTATGAAGAGCTCCTTGAAGTTTAGTCCAATTTGAGCAGCTTCACGTCGCCACCTCAAGGGGAACAGCGGTGAGTGCTTTTATAATAAAAACAAAACAGATGGTGTTTTTCATGCAGTTCATGTAACATTATGCTGCATTTAATAGCATCATAGAACAGGCTAATACATATCAAAAGTTTAATAAGAAAACCACTTTTTACCTCGCAGCACTTGTGGACATGATTTCCAACGAAAGCTTTTCCATGGTAAGCTTGCCCCTGCACTCAATGTTGCTGTAGGATGGTGTCCAGAGGGCTTGCAATATAAATAGGTCCAGTGGCAAATGGAAGTTGCACCATTTCAGCCTCTTTTTCCTGTTGAATTATAGACATGTATTAGCATGTTAGTGTGAAACATGGTAATTTGGGGGAAGTCATTTTCAGGGTACAGATTTTTCTTTACCAATCTTGATATTTCATTTTGAAGTCGGAAGGCTTTGTTCGTTATGTCAGGGAAAGCTCCATCCACGTCTTCTTTTGTAGTCCGAAGCACATGTAGGGGTAGTTCATCTTAAGCATCACTCAGCTCTAATCGCTTCTTCTCGAAACCTTTCCGGATATGTTGTTGTTGCTCTATTTTATTACGGATGCGATCGTCAAAGTTGGTCTTCTGCTCTCGTTTCTCTGTTGCCATACGAAGCTGAAATAACTGCATGTCTACGTTGTGGCAAGCACTTTCAAATGCATCGAACAATTTCTGAAGACACCAAGCGAAATATGCAGTGTTGGCAGGATGAACTATGTAGAAAAGCAAACATTTTAAAATTAAAAAAGAAAAATTATATGCACTTGAACATTTTGTAGAATGTTACTTCCAATAACTTGCATGGTCGATATCAATCGGCATAAGAGGACGGTGAAAAATGCTACAAGAAACATCCTTAGCACGATGGTGGTTTCCTTCATCTCGCAGGAAGTGATGGTAGTTGGCTTCAATCGATTCGATTGTGCGTGATGGATATGCATCTCTCTCCGACCAAGACTCATTCATTTGTGCTTTGCTGGCTGTACAGTACAAACAGCAGAGGCGAACTGGGCAAAATAAAAAAGTCAACCTTTTCAATTAACATTTAAAGATTTCCTCATTCTACGGTTTCTGTTCTGCAGACAAGCTGCTGTCAAACGGCGGAAGTGAACTAGCACGTCAAAATGAAATCTTGACGTGCGTGAATATGTACGTTGAATAAGGTCGGTTAATATAATATTGCTCGGCTTACCAATGCTTCACTCTTTCTTGCTTAAACTTACCATTGCACTCACATATGCCATACAACTTGGTCAGTAATTCATAGTAACCGAAGCCAAACATGCGAATTGACTGGTGTCTAAAGAATGAATGAAAAAATGCCAATTCAAAACCAAAAATTAGCGACTGTCTATTTTACATATTGTTGGGTAATGTTACCAAGGATAGAAGACAATTTTAAACGCACACAGTATTTTCTTGTTTTGAAATGAAAATAGAGCTGTGTGTATGTAAGTAAGTGCTGTGTATAATAGTGAAGTTTCAATGTGCCACAATTTTTATAGAAATTAAAACCAGCTTACTGCATGCCACTTTGCAGATCCCAGTTTTGCAATCTGTTGGAAGGTTGGAGGAAGGTTCTGTTGGATGTTCGCCAGGGAGTCTTAAGCCTCAAAGTAGGCAAACACCACAGTGTTTCGAAGAGAATTTGGGTGCTCAAAGTTGACAATTTGGAACGCCATTTTAAAGGAAGAACCACCCTTATCCCACCCGACTTTTGTCCATACTTCGTCCTCCGGAATAACTCCCTTATGCCGCGTCAGAGTACCATTTCTGTTGGAAGACACATTGAAGAGCCTTGGAAGACACATTGAAGAGCCTTGGAAGAGACATTGAAGAGCCTTGAATAATGCACATTTTATCATATCATGTTAATCTATCTGTTTTTGGAACAGTTATAGGCTGGCAAACGTTCTACTGTGTTTTCCCTTTAGAAAGCAGACACCAGGTGTCTCTTTTAATTGGAAGGCTTTTTTTTTACGCTTGTGCACAACCACTAACCTCTTACCGTTGGTGTCGATCCAAATAATCCAATGCCATCTCTGTGAGGTCCCCAACAAAAGCAGATAGGTCGTTTACTCCATCCGCCTTATCACTGGTAAAAAGGAGTTCAGCCATTTCCCCTTGAAGGTAGTCCTTTAGAAGGTGCTTCTGTTTAGTCCTCAAAGCTCTTTCTGATGGCGGACATCTTGGGTCATTCAGGTACCTGTAAATAATGAAAATGCTGGACAAATTGAGATTGCTTCTACTACAACTGAATTCTGCAACAGTAAATGATAACTTTTTGGCTTGCCCCCAACATCCCCCTAAAAGTCTTTAGGAATGAAGATGCAATTTTAACAACATGTATAGTATCACTGATTGGATTCCCACCACTGTTATCTCATACTGTACCCTCTTAATTTCCTAAGCTGAGTCCAAGCCAGTTTGCAGTCTCGCATCATGAGGGAAGTTTCTGCTGATAAGGGATGAGCCTTCGTGGATTCCATACCATCAGGGGATTGAGCTGACTTCTTCAATGTCACTGGTATACATGTAGGCTGTTTAAAAGATAGTAAATTGCATTGGCCAGTTTGATACATGCCCACCTATAAAAAATTTAAAAGATACCTCTCCCTTGTTATGATAATGCATTATAACTAATGAATTGATTTACTGTTTTTAGTATTTATGCAATTAGGTCCTGTGCTTGTTATATTCACTATTTAAATGATCATCAAATATGCAGTTGTGAAGCTTCACTGTTATTTTACTAGCATGTTTTAAATGATTTAGATTGGTTCTAAAATAAAGTTGAAGTTTATCCTTAATGAAAATCTTACCCGACCACCGGTTTGTTATTGCAGTTACACGATTGTCAAGTTTTAGGGTGAGCCAAGTCCACTCGTCAGAAACGTCTTCAACAATTTTCGGTATGGGGTCTCCATGCTTGTGGCAGTTGGCCAGGTCTTTCAGCACTTTTGCAGCTGTTGCAATTTGTTGAAGTTTCAGACTCATTCAATTGAATTTGTGCTGCCTAGACAATTGTAAAGTTTGGGATGCGTGGATTAATTTGACCGCATACATGACTGATGACCTCTTCCAGTTTTCCAATTTTTAGGCACTTGCTACAAATACGTGTGTAACCAGCAGGTTGTCGCGTTGCATAGTCAGAAATAGGGGACTCTCTGTGATTTGTTCATACTTTTTGTCAGCCTTGCACACTGGACCCGTCAAACTTGATATACCACGCTTAAATGTATGCTGAAAGTACGAAGTCAGGGAGATAGACTGCACAAAAACTGTGTTCACAGGGGGTCTGAATACATGGTTTGCTCAAAATGGATACAACATATGAAAATGCTGCCCTCTCCCGTTGTGAATTAAGTCCAAACTAACTGGAACTTGCTGGCTTGGCTCACTCCATGCTCCATAATGGTGTGCAAAATTTTGCATCGCTGCTCACTCACAAGCTCGGACACAAAGCATGTGCCGGTTCTCTTGTGTGAAGGCCACTCAGACTGGATTTTCTGTCTTAGTAGACGTTTATTTACATCTGTGTCTCGAGTACCTCCTGTAAAATGGCGGATCTTCGTGGTGCATCATCTCTGACAAATGAAGGCTGGATGCTGGTCAGGTGTGTCGTTCCACGTACTCACTTGAAACACAGCGAAGATCTCTTTTCGAACATGGCTGCAGGGGACTGGTTTTGTTTTGGATTTTTTGACCTGGATGCAGCCTTCCTGTACAAATTCTACAGAAATCGAAAACTCATGTTGAATGATATTTTAATTCACATTAACTACCAATATACGGTTTTTTTCCCCAGCAAATCCCCTAACAACTGTACAGGGAGTACACAACCGTTTGCGTAGCGCGCCCTTTACACCAGGCCGGCTGGTACCCGTGCTTCGCGTTGGCACGTCAGTGGCCGTAAACCAGCGATCTATAAGTCAGAAATCTTCGTGAAGCGCGAAAAATATGAGGCTATTTCCACTTCCAGGGTCTAGAATTAAGCTTAGAATGGTGGCCTAATAAAGAAACAATACTTTCTGTTTAAGTTTGTTATTTATCCACCCAACACACTTTGACAGTTTACCCTGACGAGGCAGAATTAGGCCTACTTTGTTTCGAGAATTGTTTTCATGTCCAAATCATCGCCGCTCACGATGATATTGTCACGGAAAAATCCACAAAACAAACAATGTGGGAAGAATTCCTTCCTTGTTATTTCTTTAAGGGAAATATTACAATTCAGCAACTTATGCCCCAAATGATTGTAAAACCTTTTGATCGACAGTCTAATTTTGACAAAAGCTTCGACAAAACATGTTCGTTTTTTTCCGTTCATGTGCAGCGCCATGTCGTGTGGTGTCACACACACAATTGGAGTTAGCAAATAAGAAACAAACGTCTGCAGGTATACTTTCATTGCGTGCGCGCTATGCGAGCGGGACCACAGACATATAAACGCATAGACTGCCCGTCTTGCGCGTATAGTGTAATTCGACCAGCAGAATTAGAAGCCATTACTGCGGGGGCACAACGCTCGTGGACAGGTGGCACGCACGCGTTACGTGCCTCTTCGACCAATAGGGTGTCGTGATTTGCCATATGCACGCGCGCGTCAAGCTGGAGAATGTGTGTGTGAGTGCAGCGCCACCGCAGTTATGGCGTCTAATCGGATTAGTCTGTAAACGTTGCGCCTAATGCAGTTGACAGCGCTTTCAGTGCGCATTACGTGCAACGCACTTACATTGCCTGTATTTGTTTAGGCTACATATGCTTTCAAAAATGTTCACATTTTTGCTCTTCGTAACTGTTATCTCTTCTTTTCAAATGTTGCAACCACATTGTTTTGAATCCCTATGGGCCAGCTTAAGTAAATGGCATCATTTATGGCTGAAATTCTCCAACTGTGCGTTAATTCCCTATACTGATGGTTGGATTTGCCCATAGCTGTGATTTTAATCAGGCGCCGCGCAGATCACGAGAAAAAACCCTGTAGTTTTGAATAGGACCTGGCGGTCTATGCGTTTATATGTCTGTGAGTGGGACTGCATTAAGGAAGTCCTGACATGGCTAGCGGTTGCAGTCACTCAGGTCGTACAAATGCGTTCGTTACTCCCGGTCGTAGCCAGTTGATTCTGACAAAGTGATGACTAACTCGGGTACACTGTGCCCTTTTTCCTGTGTTGTTAGAATCGTGCTGGACCGCGATGTGTTGTGATGGCAATGAGTGCATATTGTTGTGATTGTAATCTACTTATTCAAGATAAACTAGTCAAGCATGCAGTGTTCGCACGTGCGCTTGCACGTTGTTGAAGCTGTCCATAGGAATATTTCACCCACGTGACTGGATTATGCTTAAATATAAACAGTAAAACCACGTATGGATCGCCTTGGCCACGGTGATCGCACATATTCCCACGGGCAGCTTCAACCACGTGCAAGCGCTTGTGCGAACACTGCAAGCTTGACTAGTTTATCTTGAATAAGTAGATTAGTATCGCAACACTATCCACTCATACAATCACAGCTTAAGGCGGTCCAGCACCATTGTAACATCACAGGAAAAAAGGTCTATATGCGATCACTGTGACCAAGGCGGTCCACAAGTGGTGGGTATTGTTTACATTTAGTGCAATCCAGTCACGTGGGTGAAAAAGGTATATTCGAGAGTGCTGGTGAATTCGAATTTCTTTGAGCTCTCATGCATTGTTCACCTGATGGCCCGGGGTCATGACAACTGAGCGCGAATCGTCGATGCTTTCTGTTTCCTTTAACTTTCACACAGTAATCATTCACGTTAAAGGGATTTGCGTTTCCATGGGAAAAAGTAATAATGCTATAGCAAAGTTTGATATCTTCATACTGAAATGAATGCAATAAGCTTCAGATTAAGTACGAGAGATCAACGGGACAAACACCAACAATTAGAGCCGAACTGTAGGTGTTTTGCCTATATAAGAGTCCTGTGTTTCAATTAAGTACAACTTCCTTTATGCAGCACATGCACTTCAAAACCATTGACTCGTTGCATAAAAAGACTGTGCACCTAGGTAAATCGAAATAGGTATCTCGCAAATGGAGATAACAAAGATAAAAAAAATAACCCGATGCTACTTGCCCTTCCATTTGCAATAATATACCAACAGAAGACAAAAAATATCCACTGCACCACCTCGGAAAAAAAAAATAAACCAATCTCTTACCATACTACTACTGCAGAAAAATGATATTCCAAATTTCTCTCTACTTGTTACTTTGTCTTAAAAAGCGAGGCTTGTCAGCAGAACCACTAGAAAATGACATGAAAATATTTATCACAAAATCGTAGAAAGCACGACATTTTCTTTTTTTGAAATTATTCACAGATATGATTTCGACGCCCTGTACGAAATCAATTTATTGTTGCCATATGATGTTGGCAGTGGAATGAAAGCAAATATATTGCAATTGGTTAACTGTAATAACGGTAAGGTCGGACGTAAGCCGGCACTATGAGATGACATGTGCGCACGCGTGCACAGAAACGGCAAATCCGTGGAACACTACGCCGTCAATTAAGAGAGCGGCGTCGCATGATTCGGCACACACGGCCCGAGTGTACATGATGCTCCAACAACGTACATTTACCGACGCGATGCCGTAAACAAGGGGCAAGACAGGAACTGGATTTCCAGTCGGTGCAATGATATTACAACTGCGTGAGGCGATAGGCACTCCGACAGGATTCACGAATGACGGTTGCGTTTAGATCCAGCAGTGGACAAGATGGGACAGACGAGGGGCACAGCGTGGTTGCTTGAGGGTACAGACGCGTTGTTGTGACGATTCGCCACAGACGTTGCTGAGGAACAATGCCTGTCGCGCCATGAATGAAACACAGTTATCTTAAAATCCGCAAGTTCTTTCAAGAAATGCCTTCTACGCCGCCCCTCTCCTAGGGATCATCATCAACGTAATCTCAAATGACTTCCAGGGCTAATGTTGGATTTTTGTTTGGCCTGCCAGACGTGTATTTCAACACTGAATGCTCAGCGTATGGCCCGAAGGCTTGTGAAAAAACCCACAAGCGTAGTCGGGTGGGACTCCAACCCACGACCTTCTGCTTACTAGTGCAAACGTATTAACCACTCGACTACCTAAACCATCCTTGATTTCCAGGACTTTTCATTCTTAGACTTAATATATTCCAGCTTTCTTGGTACGAGCCTGGCAGCTCCAATGATTCTATTACCACTCGACATACCTGACTCCACTATGGGCACCCTCGTTTGGGAGGATAACAGCAACGTCACGTTTCACGACACGGCCGCCCCCGCCGGATCATTGGAAGAAACTGACGGCAACGTCTGCCAATTCTTCGAGAACTACACGTCCGAGGAGGAATTGGAGAGGAACACCTACAGTCAGGGCCAGGTGCTCTTCGTCTCGGTCTGCTTGCCCCTCATCATGGCGCTGGGAGTCATCAACAACTTTGCCTTCATCTACGTGGTGATACGTGTTCCCCGCATGAGGACAGTCACCAACTGCTATCTGGTGGGTCTTGCCGTGTCTGATGTGCTTTTCCTGGTATTCGCTATTGGTAGTAAAATCGTGTGCTACGTCTCCTCCCCCATTTATGGCGACGACACCCCCCTCGGACTCTCAGGCTGCCTACTCACTCAGTTCATCATCAACACGTCCTACTTCGCCACCCTCTGTTTCATCACGTTGGTATCTTGGGAGCGGTACAACGGCGTCTGCAGACCCCATCGCAAACGAGATACAAAGCTCAGGATCTTCAAACTCTTGGCTGCCTCCTGTCTGGCATCCAGTTTGATGTCGGCAACCCTGTCCTTAAGTCTTGCCGTGGAAATCGTTGAATGTATAACCTGGCCCGACGGGCCCCCGTACGACACTTGGCCAACGCAACGATACCTGTATTATCCGGTGTTCGACTGGGTAGACAAGTACTCCTACGGAGCCCAGACGATACCCTTCTTCATCTCGCTCACCATCAATGTGTTCTTCTACCAGCGAATCATCAAGGGGCTTGACAAGTCCATGAACCGCAGGCACCTCCATTCGAACCACCGCTGCAGCGGCGGGGACTCGTCCACGCGGAACCAAATCGCTCGGATGCTCGTCGTCAACGGCATAACCCTGTTCGCTCTCCTCGCGCCTTTCGAGATCATGTCGCTATTTCAGCTCATCGGAATGTTGCGGGATCATAACTTCATCCTTACCGTAGAGGTGAGGGGCCCTCTGGTCGCAGTGGCTAGGGTACTGTCCTACATCAACGCTGTTGTGAATCCAGTGATTTATACGGCCCTGAGCAGTAGGTACAGGGAGTCCTTTAAAATCACCTTCATGCCGACACAATGCCGGCCTCGCCAACGTCAGAGAATCGAAAACTCTGTCCATGGTAGCACCGTTACCGTACAGTGTGGAGTTACATCGAAAATACACGAATCAAGAATGTAATTAGGGTGTCAAATGCTACTTGGAAAATGCCACTCAAACATTGTAAGAATTAAAGAAGTGACTAAATATAGCCTAATATTAGTAAATATCACATGGTTATGGGCAAAATCCATCACCACTCCCAATACTACCACGAGTCAAATCGAAAGTCTGAACACGAATACTATGTGTGATAAACAATGACAAAGTAACAGCCACATGATTTGAGATTTGATTGATTTGACTCGTGGACTCACGAAAACTTGCACTACACTACTAACATATAGAGCCTAGATTGTTTCGTAATGCACACCATGTTGTATTATAAAACCCTTGCCGAAAAAAATACCATGAATGAGCCAATTCCGTATTACAATAGCAAATGCCCCGAAAATGAAGCCCGTCGGAGGTCATTTGGACGTGCGTGTACGTGAGGTCTGCCTCTTCAGAGCAGCCCTGTGGTACTGCTCACTAACTATAAATACTGCTAACCACGCGCTTTCGAACTCAAGGAATACCCACCCGATCTGTGAAATGTGAAGCAAGGTGAGGGTGCAAAAGATATTAAATGATTATAACTTGTATGTGATGAAAGACAAGGTTTAAATAATGGTGCTTTTGGACCAAGTGGCTTTCTATGGTAAGTTTTGCACAAAAAGTACAAATCTTTAATTTAGTTTAGGTTACGAGCCTTATTTTGGGTTTGCTGGTTTGCTGGCTACAGACTTCTTTGCAGCTAGTATTCCTTTAGTTTTTAATAACATGACAAGAAACCAGTGAAAATGAAGTGCAACCCTTGTGTGGCTGTTGTACTTTATTACCACAAACGACAATTCCCATGACTTCCTTTTAACCGTTGAGAATGACTGTATACAGTCTGCAGCCATACAGATCACGTACGTTAGTCTGCGGATCCAAAACCAAATTTTCAGAGGTCCATAAGACTTTACAATCTCTTTATATTAACTTTTATGGCCTTTCTGAGAGGTGAAGCTGAATTTTCGTGCTTGTTACACGCTTTGAAAAGAATTTAAATGCAATAAACCGCCATTAATATCAATACACATCACGATATCAAAGTCACGCAATGGCTAGTATAATGGTGAACACTGCTTTCACGTACACCTAGAAACAGTTGGCCATTAGGATAATATAGTCATGTTGTGATATCAGAAGGCCCGCGCTGCAAAATGAACCTCCCTTCAAATCATATTATTCAACCTCGTGCGTAACAGTACCCTCCTTAATACTCAATTCATCTTTCTCTGACAATCTAGTGAAGTTCCTCTCACTTAGGCCAAGTCGAATTAAGCTCAGACTACTCAGTGCACGATAATTGAATTTATACGGACAACACCTCGTACATTACATGGCCTAGAGTGCTTTGACATGGGCGCTGTACTGGCTCAGACAAATTATTCATAATTAAGATAAAACGATTATTTTACATCCTGCAAGCCGTAAGCCTTGCCACACAAAGTCGACCATACTTGTAGACTTCGCATAGTTCACGTGAGGCAAGAGAGATACAAACTTATTAATCATTCGGAAGGTTATAGCGAATACAAAACAATGACCGATCCTTCTAGAAGGGGAGTGTATCAAAGAAATGTTGGGGATTTTAATTGTCTGCCTTTTCACAGCTGACACGACCCGACAGTGACAATGACTTCAACATTTCCACAGAGAAATAATGTGAATGACGTAGACCAGTATGTCAACGACGATTGGCAACAATTAATGTAACTAAGGACAAAAGAACATTTTCAAAAACTATACTCAGGTCTACCAAAGCCTATGTTCTACATTAAATCTGCTGACCTTTTTTTTAAATTAACATTAGCAATCAAGCATGAGATAGAAAGCTTTAGCAAGTCTATCGGATACGATTTCACAATTTTGTCGGAAAAGTCCTTGTAAACAAAACCCATTAACGACCATCGAATCAAAATTTACAAGCCCATCTTCTTTCAGAAATCTTTGTTTCAAATTTAGCCACGTTTTTCACTTTTGAACCTCCGGGTTTTAAACAAAATTAAGTTGATCACATGTACAATGCCAACGAAACAAGCCACAAGCATCACCAATCCATCAAAAAACTGATAAAATAATGACGTCAAAATGACTTGATATGCTTAAAGTAATGTTTGACGAGGAAGTGAAGACCCTTTCAGGATATTCCAAGACAAATGTACAGAGTTCGATCCGATATCATTGCTTCCCAGCTCAACCTAAAATGTCAACTGGGCAGTTTATTGCCTTCGTACGTGGCGTTATAAAGATAACCGTTGAGACTCGGAAACCTTTTTCGTTTTAGCGGAGGACAAATTGGTGTTACTTAAATGTCAAGTGACCGACGCTACAATTTGGCGAAAGATGTTTATCTCGCTTACTTTGGTTAGGCGCGTAAAGCCCCAACATTCTTAAGGGGTTTTTCTTTTTGCAAACTGAGTGTGCAAAATTCACGTTTCACATTTCCTCCCTTCCTTGCTTCAAGCTCAACCGTGGTAGAAATCTGGGCTCCGGTATTATTATTAGCGCATTTCAACAACATATATAATGAAAAATGGTACCCTCGTATCTACTTCTACGCCTTTGGCGTCAACAGTAAGCGATGCTGTCTCGACTGAGAACTAATTTGTTCTCCTTAACATAGGGCCTTCATCATACGCTGCCAGGTTTGCCCATTTGGCAAATTATTGGATTGCAATGAATAAATAGAAGTTGGTTTATGGATAACATTTTACTCTTTCGTTCTTTTCATGTCCGCGCATGATAAATGGTAAATGCAAAACTAAATGCGCGCTTCAGACGAAGGGTGTCAATGCTAACCCAGTTATGGGTACCCGATAATAAAATGGCTCGCCGTGTGAAGAATAAAAGGGGAGAAAAGCACGGACGTCGACACGTGCGATATTCCTCTCCACTTCCCACCATTCGTCCTTTTACCCATCTCAAAATGGAGCCCGTTCTGACGGCCTGATTTCCCCTTCAACACCAAGGGTTGGTCTTACCCTCTCCAACCACAACCTCGTGCAGTTTTGCCTCGTGTCACTGGGAATTCTTAACACCGTGACGGTCGCATTTCGAGGGGCTGAACGCTTGCTTGAGATCAAAGTTCCTTGGAGGTGTTTGCATCGATATTGACCGGGTCCCGTTGCTCAGCAAAAGGTTAGGACAATCAGAGATGAAACTAGAGGATCGCTCGTTATCATCCCGCAACTGCTCTTAGTGCCTTTCCATCAAAACGCAAAATCCTTTTTCTTCATTTTACTTCCACCTCCCACCAGATTTCGGAGCTAACATTCAAAAATTTAATATAAAAGGAGTGAAATTGGATGCTGACAAATTGGGGAAAATTGCAAGAGACGCAATTAGCACGCAGTCATTGAGGTATGGAAACCTCTGTAAATCATTCCATATTGTTTGAATACCTCTCAACAAAATGACGGCTATACTTTCACTGACAGCCCGGACATGTATGGCTGACATACAGACGAAGTAATGTCACTGCAGGAAAATCAATGACGATGCAAAGACTATTTACCCCGAAGGGGCTAGACTTTCCGTGCAGTTTTGTCTAAAGCTTCTGGCACACGCAAATTTTTCTTATCTGCCTCGCGGAAACTCTCCTCGAGGAGAAATCGCCACAAATATTTTGTTCACATCGATAAAGCGCCCAATAACAACGAAATGATAGATGACTCCGTCTAAATTACGTCTCCGATTGAATAACAGCACTTCGCGGGCGACGGAATTCTTGGTCGAAAACGAGTGTATGAAACACAGCATGGTCCTTATTTCTCGCCAGTCCACTTAATGACGTTGTTAAAAGCCCTCCACCAACCCTTGTGTTCATTGGCAAGAACACAACACAATTTATCCGGACCCAAATTGGTCAAATTGTATACGCAAATGCCCAGTTACTAAACTGTAGTGCGTTTATGGACAATTCTCGATGGATCGAGTTTCGCTGTGCCCTGTTTTCAATGAACGTCCAAAATAAAAAGGAAAAGAACAATTAAGCGTTTAAAGCTCCAACGATTAAATACATGAGCGTTAATGCTCAGCTTGCGAGCTTGACACACCGCAGCGATTGGAAAAAGACTGCACAAAAGAAATACTGCCGAAAAGATTGCACAAATGTGAACTTTCAATCGCCAACGATAATCCAGCCCAGCTTATATGATCTGTGAAAACACTGTGCTCCAGCTGAAGGCACTCTGAATTTTAAAGGGGTGATGGAGACCTGTTAGTGACCGTTACCGGCTGTGACATATTGAATAAAAACAAAACCCGAAACAAAAATTCTATCCCAAGTTTGAACCGTATAAAGGCCCATTAATTTTACACACGAGGTTTAGCGGAATTCCGCGCGGTCAAAAAACTAGAGCATATGCTTTTCTGTTAAAAGCCGATCGCGGGATAAACCGCTTCATTTACACAGTAGACCGATTTTCAAGGATACCGCTCTGAGACTGCGCATTCTGGCTAGTTAGGCAAGAAAACAACACAATTTATCCGGACCCAAATTGGTCAGATTGTATACGCAAATGCCCAGTTACAGTGCGTTGTTAGGTATAAGGCCCTGTCCGAATCACTTGTTGGCTGTGGGCTGATATGATGCACGAGTCTATGGTAGTGGCCACAGAGTTCTCGAAGAGTCGTGTGTAATTTCAAGCCATAGCCAAGTAATTCGGACACGGCCTAACATCACGTTCGGGCCGATACGGTTGAACAGTTCCTTGCCTTCGATTCTTCCCAGGAAGCATGATTGTTATTGTACAGTCAGTGTGACACTCTTGTCGTCGTGTAGTTAGTGAACAGTGAGCGGGTTTCTTCCTTGTGTCTAAGTGTAAAATACCGCAGGGCGTACCGCATTCCGTTACCGCTTTTCGATACCGCTCAATAAACAGGCCTTAGTCATGACATTATAAATATTTTTCTTCGCTCTAGGTGAACTCTATATACAGTATTCAAAAGAAGCGAAATGTCCAAATCCTTCCGAAAAATATCAACTTGGTTTCAGTTTCATGAAGGATATTATTTCAAAGGTTTAATCTTCTACAGACCCGACATTTAACCAACACCCCGCCCCGAACGATAACTTTAAGATGGCGCAACATCCTGAACGAATATTGATTGCCTACGGTTTGATGCTTTTGATATGTTAAATATGCACGCAAGGCAGAGCAGCTCCGCTAAATTGCGACATTTATCCGAAATTACAGGGAGTAATTTCCGACAACAAACACCTGACGCTGGTCCCCATACGCCCGTCGTTTAGTTTGCTTGACATCACTGCCCGATAACTTCGAACCGACAAGCTGGCGACAATCTAAAACACGACTGTCTACCGCCGACTGACTCTCAAACTGACCATGCCAAACCCGAACATTGAAATCCGGCCAACAACTCAGACAGCACAGCATCAGTAAGGATTTTCACAGCTAAGACAACGTAGCCCTGACGAGACATACAGGCAATTCTGGACAGACTAAGTGGGTGTAACGGGATCACGATTTACATTATGTGGATGCAGACGTGTCTCCGTTGAAACAAGTGATTCAAAACCATGTCTCCGTGAAGTGACACACAGCACTTTGTTTCTCATAGTAAACTTGTACAAAAACAGACACCATGTGTATATAGGTGTCATCTATAAGGAGCAAAATATGATTGTTTATAAATATGTTGTCTAGCAGTGTCGAGTTGTTTACTCTATCGGATATCTGGATAATGCTTCTTGTTTGCGTCATAACTTTTTTATAAAGACATCCACAAGGAGTACTTGGCACACCTTGTTCTAATTTTCATAGAAGGCACGACCAAATATTCCCATATAAAGTTCGATACGTACGTAGTGCTCTATATCTCTTTATCTAAAACTAGCTAAAAATGGTTACGTCTGTTGGACTGCAGCGACATGACTTCAGTGTGTCAATAATTTCGTATTTCTGCAAACATGTAGTCGTATATCCCTTGTAAATTTATGATGCAATTTGTAAGTGTTGATCTTTCTGACAACTGAACGCATATACTGTTTGTGTGTGTGTGACAAGAATTAAATCGTGTGATTAATGTAAAATGTGTAATTTTGAATCATTATAAATTATAATCATGCAAATTTGTGACGCAAGGTGAAGAAAATCTTTGGATAAAACAAGACCTTGGAAATAAACCAATTCATTAGAACGGAACACTGGGCCCCCAGCCGATTCATAAGAACGGGATACTGGGCCAAAGTTATTTACTGAAGAAAACAGAATGAAAATGTGGCTCATTTCGTAAGACTGTATCATTCTATAATAACCATATTTTATTAAAACATATCGTTGAAAACCAAATTCTTTGAATCTCCCAGAGTTTTTTATGAAGGCTCTGTTGTTATACGCGTGTTACGAGGATTAATCAAGTCTCATAAATGACTTCTTACCGCTGTATTAAACGAAGTGTGTGGCTTATATAAGTAACATTAACTGCATGGACAACCTTCCCGGACTTCCCGGCGTTATCCTGTCCAATTCAATCCCATCATATCCTATCCTTTAGACCTTTTCCAGTGATGTCACGATCATGCTGGACCTATGATGTGTTGTAATGGTAATGTGATGGTAATCTACCTATTCAAGACAAACTAGTCAAACATGCAGCGTTCGAACGTGCGCTTGCACGTGGTTGAAGCTGCCCGTAGGAATATATGCCATCACCGTGGCCAAGGTGGTCCACATGTGGTGGCACTGTTTACTCTTAGTCACGAGGGTGAAAAAGGTCTACAGTAACTGTTGCTTTATCGGTCTCAATCTCGGACTTGAGTCTCGGTCTCGTGATTTTAGGTCTCAACTACAGCACTGTTTCTTGATACGTGATCACAAGCAGACTCTGCGATGCAATGTTCTCACACACAATAGCCAAACGTTTCACACACACACATGTGTAT